TAAAGAAGTCAAGTTGTTACTTAAATACTAAGGTCTGATCCAAGTGTAACCGAGGAGTCACCAGATTTTGAACTTTTCAAAAAGTGAGTTTTCTGTGGGCAGAAATGACAAAAGACAGTACAGTTAAGTTATTATTTTCCCCACACTTCTCTTCAAAGCAGTGTATATCTGTTTTTATGAAAAAAACAGAAAAGTGACCAAAAAAGAAAAAGCAGTGACCTAGTTAAAAATGAATCTGCTGCTCGAAGCCCCCTCCAATTTTACCTGACTTTCATCTGATTCAGTGAATAATGCTAGGATTCCTTCAAACTCAACCTTAAGAAAAGACCCAACATCACTAATTAGAAAGCTAGTGAAAAACTGCAGTAAACTAGACTTGGAAGTGGATCCAGAATTAACTTAATCTCGTGGTTGCTATTCTGGTATATATAGGTTTGGTTTGCTTCAATTAGAACTAACCGTATATAGTGCTTTGCATTAATGACAACATAATTATTAGGTCATATGCTAGGTGATGATATTGACGTAGTCACATGTATTTGGCTTTTCTGCCTTTTGACATAAATTTGGAGTGTAGAAGAGTATCACTCATAGGGAAGAAGTCCAGGGTGTGCAGAGAGATCAGGAGTGCTACTTCCTTCTTGTTTGCTCACAGAGATTTAATCATGTCAGAAGAAGTTGCAGGCACATACAGAACGCATGCTAAAATCCATAGCAGAGTTGCCTAAAAAAGCAAATCATAAAAGTTTCCTGGAAGATTTGGGAGTTGCATCAAAGGCTCTGGACTGGTGGAAATTACTTGCTTTTCACAGCAAGGGTGAAGTGAACCTGTCCTTCTTGCTTGGCTGTGCTCACTAGTTAAATTAACACTGTGCTCACCGTGGGGATGCGGGCAAAGTGGGGAGCCATTAACTGGTGTTTCTGCCAGAGTGAAAAATACCAAGGCAAAAATAATTAGACTGGAGAGAGCATTAGGTAGACCATGAGATGTAGAAACTGGATTATTTATTTTATCGTGGTGAAGTCGTCATTCACCTGATAACATTAGTTGCTTTTAAAATATAATTAACATTTTATTCCCATAAACATTGTTGTGTATTAGATGCTAGTGGGACACAGCACAATATTTCCTAAATACTGTTTGGTGCCTAGATGGCTATTTCAGTGCTAATGTCATTAGGAAAGGTTGCAGAGGAAGAACGTCCTAAAAGGTCTGTTTCTCATGAAATCATCTCCTGTAGTTATTCAGATGTGAATATTGAGGCATTTTCTGGATAGACTTGAATCTGTTTATTTTGTCTGGACCCTTATCCTGCTTATAAATGTAAGAAGTGAGATTGCAAAAATATAAACAATTCTCTTTGCTTTCTGACTAATTTTGGTTCCATAAAAGCAAAACATACATTTGCAGTTTCACACCTAGTTAGATCCTCTGTTTGCTTTCATCACATGCATAGTCATTCTTGTGAGTCACGGGTATAAGTGTAAATGATATCATATCCCTCTTTCATTTTACGTGTTTTACTTACAAATTAATGCAAACATACAAATTACTTCTAAAGCAGCATGTAAACATTTCACTGTGCATCTTCCCTCTCTGTAATGTCCAGATAGATATTTGAATAAGAATTCTGTTTGCTCACATCAAAAAAAAAAAAAAAAAAAAGGAGATTACAGCTTTATATACCATGACTTTTCCATTAATATATTTTTTTACATGTTATGCTCCAAAGACAACTTTTCAGTGGCACGGCTTCTTTCTATTAATGGATACTGCCCTTGTAAAAGCAGTGACCTTTAAAAAGCAAGTTTCAAGTAATCCTTTTATTTCCCTGAGATCATATAGCAGAGTATCCAGTTGCAGGCTTTTAAGATGGAACGATTGCTGACTTTGTCTCCTTGCACAGATTGAATTACATTTTGTTTGACAAAGAAAGCTCTAAAATACTTATACCTTCCTTCCTCAGTTCAGAGCCTTGTAATCAGCGTGCGTCGAGGATGCACAGTGGATGCTGTGTCATCCCAGCACCTCTGGGATTTATTGAATTTATTTAATTGGCCTTTATCTTGCAGTTACACTTTAGTACTTCTTTTGAAGAGGATTCAAAATGGATACAGTTGCAGCTTTGCTAATTTATTTTGAGAGATTGGTTACTCATTTCCTTATCTTGCTGCCTTTTCCCTGCAGAGCTCTGCACAGCCACTGGCCAAGTGTGCGAGCGACTCCCCTCGCTAGAGGAGGAAGATGTGGGTAGGATGAGTGGACATACAGTAGACAGGCAAAGTGGGATATCTGTGTGGTGTTTTGATGGGTGCTTTTGGACGGCAGGTAGTGTGTTGTTTTCTGCATGCTGCTGCTGAACGACAAGAAGAAAGCCTAACACCCTTGGAAATCTCAGAGCAGATTTTCAATGCAGTTGTGAGCCTCAGTCCTGCAGATGCTGATGGAAATCTCAATAAAGACGGGGGAGAGGTGCACTGTGTGGCTGGCCATTGCTGAACCTGAGAATTGCCCAGCTTTTGCCTTCGAGAGAAGAGTTCAGTAGCAGGGAGGACTGAGATCTCTTATCACTGCAAAGCTCCCCTCAAGTTTTTGCTTCTGGTGCTATGAGTTTGAAGAAGTTTCACTGGTGCTCAGCTCCATCCTGCCAGATCTTCGCTGCCAGCCGTGTTGTAGCTCTATGGTGGTACTTGGGAGGGGCCCTGGAGAGGCACAAGGCCCCAGGGGAGCAGAGGTCCATTTTTTGGGGGTACACAAGTGCCCTCTATTTGAGTGCTTCCCTGTAAGAAGTGTTCAGTGTCTTCAGGGTAAGCACGGATGATTGGGGGGAGTTTGGTTGGGAGCATAGAGCAAACTTTTTCAAGAGCAGACAGGAGAGTGTGAGGGTATTTTTTGGTGCTTCCAATGCCTGTAAAAATCATGTAAAGTTCACCATTCTCAGCATCACCTCAGGGCTCATGCAACCTGTGTGCACAGACCATATATCTCCCATGCATGTCCCTCCATGATGCATCATACCCATTGAGGAATCTGGAGTAACTAATCCAAAATCCTATGCAAGACTGGCAATTTCAGTCTAGGTTGTTACTAGCCATCACATAGCCCCAACAAGTGTGAAGTTTGTTAGCTGGGGATGAAGTGACTTCTGTAATGGAAAACTCTCAGTGGTCACCATGTACTTTGTAGGTGATGCTTAGGTATAGAAGATTATCATCACTCACAATAAGGGGGGTTTTATCAGCTCGTTTGTGAACATAGTGATGCCAACAGCTAACAAGCAAAGGGTGCCTGTGAAGCTGATGCCAGCTCTCCAGCAGAAAACAGTATGGAAACAGTCAATGCCTTTCACTATCCTCTGAGAAACAAATGGGCAAGAGATTAGTGAACAAGAGGGAGAAAATTGGGACTGAAAAGACTTGAGATGCAGGAACCTATTTGAAACAGGCGAGCTCTCTGATAACTATCAGTCCTTACTCTTTATGTTCAGGCTTGGCAAAATTAGTTTTGTTTGTTGTCTTTATTTTACGTAGTTGGTTTGGGGGAGTTTCCTGAGCATTATGGAACTAGCTGGTCCTGAAGAAGTAACTTTGTATAGTTCCAAATAATTTTTGGAAGATGTGTTCATTTGCTATTGTGCAGTCTACATCTGCATCCCCAGTGTTTCTACAGACTTCTTCGCCATTGATCTCCACAGCTCCTCTCAGTTCTTACCAAGCAGTGACCCCACCAGAGGGTGATTCGGGGACTGGAGACTAGGCTCAGGTGGCTTTTGTCCAGAGAAGGGTAGTCTTTCTTCACGGCTATACAGAGTGGAGGCAGGCAGCATTCCTGCCCTGCCCCTGTAAATCAGGGAGTTGAATTGCTCCTCTTCCTTTCATTTTGGTGTCACTTATCTTTGACACAAAATAACGAGGCTACAGAGGCATTTCCCATAGCAGCTTTTCCTGAGGAGCTAGGAAGGGACAGTAAAATACACAACTGGAGAAGTCTCAGAAGTATCAAAGCAAAAACAAAGAATCTAGCCCATTTCCAATGCCTGTGTGGACAGGCAGAAAAACTTTGAGGGCTGCATCTTAAAATCAGAAGCAGAGCTGTATAGCTGTTTTCCTTTGGCAGCTTCCCCAAGCATGCTGCAAATTTTCCATCCTCCAGCAGGGCACACTGCTCAGTGACTGCCATTCAAATCCTTATGGTTGCTTTTTTCAAGGAATCAGCATCACTATCACAATAGAAACTGTAACACCCCCATGATGCTTATAGGGAGAAAATAAGTTACAAAATTAGTAATGGCCTGCTACCCTGTTCAGCACATACAGAATGAGAGGGCTGAAACATGCCCAAGCTTTAACCAAGATCTGCGTAACCAAATGCTTGTGAGGTGCTAAATGTATGCCTGCAAGGCAGCTAAGGGCAGTGTGTCGGTTCTATGGGATAACATAGCTCTGTGACCACTTTGTACAGGGTTTGAAAAGGCAAGGTGTGAGGGTGATGAGAGACCACTGTGCGTGTTGTTTGGATGTTGCCCAGGTGGGTGACTAAGCTGCTGCAAAGCTGCATGAGTCTGTTTTCTTGGAGTCCTGCTGGTTTATACCTCCCAGCTTGGTTTGTTCAGAGTTCCTCCTCCCAAACTGCCTTTCTCCTTGTGTTCCATCAGATCTCACTAAAGCTTTATGCAGATTGACCCACAGAGGAAAGAAAAGTTTGGCAGAAATGCCAGCAGTGGAGCAAGACAGTTACTTGGCATTCATAACCTGCTCCCCATGGGACTGAGCTCTTCACTGGGGCAAATCACTGTTGCTTTTATTCAGGCAATGGCAAGATTCCCAGTTGTCAAAAATGGGCAAAGAGCACCGAGGCCAGAATGGGCCCCGCTGAGGAGCAGTAGCTATAGCTAAAGCTCACGTTGTGTCGAAGATGCAATGATGAGCTTGAATTCAGACATGGCAAGCTGTATAACTAACCATGGTTTTGTGTGTTTTGTTTTTCTCCTGTCTTGCAGCACCTTCTCCAGTCAGTAGTGTGAAAAAAGGAAAGATAACTAAAAATAGCATCTCCCTTTCCTGGCAGGAGCCAGATCGACCCAACGGCATCATCCTGGAATACGAAATCAAATATTTTGAAAAGGTGTGATGGACTGATTGCTGAGCATCCCAAGTACCTTCTCTTTACTGTCTTCTTCTTTTAGTTATAATTATCTGAGTCATGGAAGCGAATGGAACAATTTTATGCACAAATCAATGTCAGATTGATTTTGCAGTAAATGATTAGGAAGACTTGAAATGAGGGTGTTGTTTTCCATTAGTGTGGCACTTCTCTTGAACAAATACATTAAAACTGTGTGTCAGATTCCTCTCCAGCCTTATCACATTAAGCTAGAGCCTGCTCGTTTGTTAAAAGTAAGAGCATTTGGGGACTGAACATCCCTCACCTCCCGGAAACATCAACCTACCCCCATCCTTAGTATTTACATTATCCACTTGGTTTTACTGACTGCCTGGCATTTTTTCCAGGGCTGTCCATTAGGTCTTCTGAGACACATCAAGCTTTTCCCATCCATGTGGTGATTCTCTGAGTTCACTTCGTGCTTTGTAGTCCCGCACATTGAGGAGATCCTGGTGTGCCAGCTACTGACTGAGCACTGAACACAAGCCACACATACAGTGGCTGTTTTTTGGTAGGGCTGCCTGGAGGAGGAGGATGGCCTTGAGGACCATTTTTTCTGAGGGAGATGCCAAGGAATGTAGGGTTGAACAAATAAGATATAGATTTTTTTTTGCATATCTGATTGCTCATATTCATGGGATCTCCATGGGTGCTGTCCTAGCCATGGTGTGAGGAGAGGAGAAAGACTTGTACATGTTATGAACTGAAGGAGGGCATCTTTGCTTAAAACTTGCCTTTTCCAGATGTCTTGGTCTAAAAGCAACATATTCTCTTCCTGCAAAGCTTGCCTCTCTTAGGTCCCCTCTTCAAACGGAGGCTTGTTTTCTTCCTGCAGAATTAATGCAGTTTAACTGAAAAAGGTAACAAATGCATTTTGGCTAAGTAGCATCTTGTGAATGATGCAGCCAGTCTAAGACTAAAGTGTCAAATTTGCAATAGTCAACTAATCAGCAGTTTCTGACCTTAGCTGGAATATCTTGCAGAATCTTTTTTTTTTTTTTTTTTTTGGCTTTAAGAGGCAAAATTTCTACCTGAAAAACAGGAGGAAAAAAAATTGTCAAGATTCTCATTTATGTTAAACATATTTTGGGGAAGATTTTCTTTTAGTTCTATATAGCACCCAGGTGAAGATAGTCAACATGTAGCAGGATGAGATCCTTATTCCTCCTCTCTCTCTTTGTCCTCTGAAGGGACCCAAGGCAGCAGTCCAGGCACATAGGGTGAAGAATTTCCAAAATCTTCTTCTGCATCAGGATAAAATAAAGATTTTTTTTTTTTCATTTGAGAGGCCTGGGATGGGACATTAGATATTTGAGTGGTTTAAATTTAACTTTACCGGAAAAAGACTATTCCCTGTGATTCTGCAAATGAATCAGGACTCATCCTTACTTGCACCTCTCTGTGCTAGCCTGACTTTCTGCCTGGAAAGCTGCAGCAGCAGCGTACCATGGGCACTGATGAATTTGGACTACATCGGGCTGCAAGGTCTGGCCTCTCCCAAAGTATCTTTGTGTAGCTCCATGGGATGCTCTGGGAATGATAATCTTCTTTTTGGGAACTGTGGTGTGCTGTGCTGCTTAGGCCTTCTTTGTCCCAATTCCCTGTCAGACAGTACCTGACATGAACTGCTTTCAGGGCAAAGTGGTTGACCAGAGGAAGCAGAGCTCAGATACTGGGAGCTCTTCAGAGACTTGTGGGCAAAATTCAGCATGTCTTGAATTATTTTTAGAAACATCAGTTGAATATAATTTCTTGGAGTTCTGGAAACATTGCGATTCCAGAATGGCAAGTTTATCACAAGGTACAAAGAAAGAATCGGGTTTTACTTTTGCCTGAAATAATTGATTACTGTTTCATTTTGTTGTTTGAACAACTGTGCAACATTTAATTCTTACGTTGGAGTGACCTAAAAAGATTAGCCTCTAGAAACCTTAATAATGAGCAAATAATTCAAGCAACAAACTGTGCATATTGGTTCATTTTATTTAGTTTGCGTGCTGTCTTTTTGCAAATCACAGGGTTTAAAATATGCTATTTCAAAATAGTTTCAGTAAATAGTTCTTAAACTGCAAGTCACTCGTGGGCAGGTTGCTGTTGCCAGTGAGGGCTTTTGCCATCTTGATTTATTTGTTTCAGGCTGATATTAAAGTTTAGTATTTTCCATTGGAAACCTTAAGTGTTTAAATGTTTAGAGAAGGCAGTATTGAAGGTCTAATTTGGCTGATATTTAAATGAAGATGTGTACTTGTATACACTCACTGCTTTTTAAGCATTCAGTTAGATCAGTGAGGTCAGCCTTCATTTTTCTTGTCTGTTGTTACTATCATGTATATTCTCTTGCTTTTATGCCCTGTTTTATGAAGTGTTCATTTCCAGGGGGTGAGAATGGTCTATATTACATGCTTGGAAAAAATGAGTTTTGTCGGTTCACATTCTTGCAAAAGAAATCACTTCTTAACAAGAGAGAAAGGACAAATAGACAGGAATGCCTCCAATACAGTCTTGTGTATCTATGTGCTTTAATTAGAAAATATGCAATCCTATATTTGGAAATTTTCACAGCCCGACAGCATATTGCTGTCTGTGGAAAGCTGCCCAATAAAAAGCTGCCAAATTAAAAAAGAAAAATCAGTGTAGATCCTAATTACTGTGTAAAATCTTGGTAGGGAATTACTGAGAATTTTTATTTACCTCATAGAAATTTGGAGCTGAAAGGATATGGTGAGTAAAAAGCAAATTCCAAGTTCATAGGCCTTGATTTATGAACTCTTGTCTATGTTATTTGGTTCAGTAAGTGATTCCAGCTCTAATTACCAATAATTTGAGTGAAATTTTAACTAAAGAATTCAAACTCTTTTCACATCAGAAACGGATTTAAATGAAGATGCATTTCAGCAAATTTTCTTAAAGTTCATTGCTTCAGAAGAATAAGGCAAAGTTAAGTATATACCAGTTGTTTCTTTTTGTTGTTGCTAGTTGATGAATATAGGAAAACCATCTTGAAGCTACCTAGCATGTAAATACATTGCTTTATTTCAGCCCTAATTCCGTTACTGATAGTTTTAGTTCAAACCAAAATCCCTTTTTTTAAGACAATAGGCCTGTTTTCCACTCTTCTGTGTGTTGGGATTGATTTTTATTTCCATTTCTTTGGGCACGTCTTTTAAGATCTCAAAGTACATCCAGGGCATTGGAGAGTTTCTTAGAGAGTCTCAAAAGTGCCTATTTTGGTCTTTTCTTCTCCGACACGGCCGCTGCGCTCGTGTTCTGTGAGAGCTGTTATTTGTGTGTTTGAACTCTGTGTTTCTGGGGGGGTGGGGAAAGGACCAGGAGACGAGCTACACCATCATCAAATCAAAAGAGACAACTATTACGGCTGATGGCTTGAAACCAGGCGCAGCGTACGTCTTCCAGATCCGCGCACGCACAGCTGCTGGATACGGTGGCTTCAGTCGAAGATTTGAGTTTGAAACCAGCCCAGTGTGTAAGTCATTTTAATTACTGTCAGCTCGTGTCTCTGTAATGGTTACCAGAAAGGAGTCCGAAGATCAATATCTTTGCACTGAGCTCTGTCAGTCTCTCATTCGCCCTCTCTCTTTCTTTCTGGCCTTGTCTCCTTAGTTAAAAACATAGGTCACATCATTACTGTGGGTGAGACAGGTTAACATATCTGTCCTTGCTTCCTCATCACATTTAGTTGGGTGGGAGCTAAAGCATTAGGAGATGTTTAAGCTTCAGAATTCATAAAATTCACTGTTCGGAGAAATTGTACCTTTGCAAGAGCCATTAGCACTGAACAATTGCAGCTTTCACACCACCGATTAGAGAAGGGTGAGGATGTCCCCATCCATAATGCTGTGGTGCAGTGCCGAGAGATGATGGAACAAACTCAGCAAATGAAATATCTAATATTAAATATTCATTGATTGCATCTAGAGAAAAAAAAAAAAAAAAAAGCACTCTTTCTTATCTCTTAAAGCATCCCTCCCCACATTGGGAAGGACTTAACCAGCATTAGTAGCTCACAGTGTAAGTCACTGTCAGGGTGGAAGGCAATTTCCCTTGGATACCAGTGCAACAGCCTTAAGAAAAGGAATTTGACTTGTGCTCAGAACTGGCAAAAATGCTCAATGCGGGCTTGAGGCTTTGTTTGGTGTGTTAAAAATCTTGGGGATTTTGGATAGGGATTTGTTTGTTTTCCTTTTAATTCTTCTCATCCAGACTTGGATTCTGGAGCATTGTTCTGTGGCTGGGTGAATCCTAGAGAAATGCAGAGCCAAGTCTCCTGTGAGGGTCCAGCTGCTGTTTTTTTTTCCCATGTTCAGAAGCTCTCATAAAAGACATTATTTATCTATTTTAGTTAGTACAATTGACATTTATTAATCTTTTTCACTATTTGGATGGGAGAAAAATTTTATGTTGGAAATACTCTGCCCATTACTATGGAAAACAACAATTTGGTCTGGATGTTTTCCTTAGAAAAATAAATTCAGACATATTTTGATTATCGTTACTCCAGATCACTTAAAATTCATCATTGTATCTTTGAAAAAGAAGTTTTTAAGTTGCCATTGCATGTTTCTTTTTAAGTCATAATAGATTTTAAAGGAATCATTATGTATGTGCAGATGTAGCTGTGGAGCCAGGGACTGAGCTAATATAGTGCAAATTGCATCATGGTGCAAACATTAATGCAATAAGAATTGTCTATTTAATGTATTTCTTATTGTACTAACCATTAATTGTGTCCTATAAGTAGCAACAAAATCATATTATACAGAATATGGCTCTTTATTGTACTGGAGAACTTCTGGTTGTAGTTAGAAGGTTTCTAGTTCAGAATAGAGTAGTTTGGTTTCAGAATATTAATGAGTAATATGCTGAATATAGGTACATTTGATCCAGCACTGTCATCACTTACAGTCCTCAGTCAAAAATAATGGCACTTCCTTAAAGTCTATAATGCGTATATCTGCGTTAGGATTTTTCCCTGAGCATCCCAGTGTGATATCTCAATGTACTTCGCAACCCCTGAGTGATTTGGTCCCACCAGCATATGAGGCTCTCTTGAATGGTAAATGCAGGGAAGCAGGTGCAGTGATACTACAGAGCTGCTAAGACACTAATAGAGTCAGGAAAATACCCCAAGATCCCTAGTTTGGGAGCTGAGGGTCGTTCTTGTGTTGCACAACACGTTAACTCATGTTGTGATCAAAGCAGGACTTCACCAGGTGGCCATTTGCACTTGCCAACCATGGCTGCAGGCACAAGGAGACTGACGGTGCAGAAAGCAAACAAATTCTCCGTGCTAGACCTGGTTCTGATAGAAACTTCTATTGGAGTAGTAGCAAATCATTTTGGTTCCAGCACGCATGAAAGCATTGCAAGGACTGTTGTGAGAACCCAAACCTCCTTCTCCAAAATTGTTTGGACTAAACAATATGTTTTGTTTCCAGTTCACAAGGTTTCTGACAACTTATTTTCTAATACACTTTGGGGGAAATATCAAACAGTAATTGCTTACAGCTTCATCACCTAAGCAACACACCTGAGAAACAGAGAGAAAAAGAAGAGTCATAACTTATTTTGGTCTCCTTTTTTTCCCACAGTTTGTTTTTGGTTTACATACTGTTTGCTGAACGCACAGGTTTGGGGAGCACTGTGTTGCAGCACTGCTGTTCCAGTAAAGTGGAAGTCTTTATTTCTGGGTGAAAGCTGTTAATGGGTTATATACTCTTGTTACTCCTGTCCCTTTACCATGCCACAGAGCCTGAACTCTGCCCAAAACTGGCTAACCAAAACAGTTTTTGGCTGGCTTGTTGAGATAACCCATCTGATCCCCAGATTGGGAGCAAGAACAAGGTAGCAAGGCCCTAGATCTGTTTATGCATCTGCACCGTGGGGCTCCTGCAGGTCACACCACGATCTCTCTGATTTCCCCATTTCTTGAGAAGTGCAAAAACCACTGGAGAAATAGCTTACTGTTCTCTTTTAACTGTTTTTAATAATTTGACAAGAAAGCAATAGGACATAATCTCAAGGAGCCTTTATAAATTTGTGAGGCTAATAAAATCTCTGGGTGATTGCATGGCTCTGGAGCAGTTAACATTTAGTACCTGATCTATTGGGCCAGTTATTATGAAATCATTTACTGCGCTTTTGCAGACCCGCCACTGTCCTGGAGTCAAGTGACCCATTGCAGATCAAGGTTTAATGCTTTACCTTTTCTTCTTCCTTTTCTTTTAACAATTAATATGAAGTCCTAATCACTTATATCTGTAGCTTCTATAACGTTAGTCCTCTACTAAGGACCGTCTTGTACTTGGCTCATTTAGATAAAGGCTGTCATCAACATGCAATTGATTGCTGCCACTGCCTGGAGCAGCCAGGCTTTTGAGGAGGACTGGTGTCCTGCAGCCCTGCCATAAGTCCTGGGGCAGCAGCTTTTTATTACAAGGTTCTTCTGCCTTTTATCAAAAGGGATCATTTAAGAGGCACAGTCTGGAAGAATTCTGCTTTTATCAGGTACAAAGACCATGCAAGATATGAAGTTTAGCAGATCTGTATTTTACAGAGGGAACATTCCAGCTGTGCAACATAGATGCTTCAATGAGTTGAATGGTATTCAGGTGCTTATAACTTTATGAAAAGACAGGTAATTTTAATTCTGTCAGAGATCTCATTTTTAACTCTTACTCAATAAGGAGTTCATTCTATAAATGTTATCTCTGCAAGTAGGAGATTTCTGTGATCTAAATGATTTCAAATGTAGCAGATACAGGAAAACAAATTCAGTTTGCTACTCCAAGTTCTGTAATGTTGCAACTTTTTAATTCAGTAATGAAATGGCTAGTGGTGGCCAGTGATAAGACAAGGGGAAATGGGTGTAAGTTGAAACACAAGAAGTTCCATCTCCATTTGAGGAAGAACTTCTTTACTGTGAGGATGGTGACAGAGCCCTGGGACAGGTTGCCCAGGGAGGCTGTGGAGTCTCCTTCTCTGCAGGTCTTCAAAATCTGCCTGTATGCCACCCTGTGCCACATGCTGTAGGTGTCCCTGCCGGAGCAGGGCGGGTTGGATTAGATGACCTATAGAGGTCCCTTAACCAACCTTAACCATCCTGTGATTCTGTGATTCTCTGATTCTGTGATTCTGTGAAATGCAAGTTTGTTTGTTTGCTGGCTTGGTTTTGCATCTGTTTTGGTTTCTTCTAACATCCATTTCCTCTCCAAAGCAGAAACAGACAGTGAAGAGGAAAAGAAGTTATGAACTGGTAAAACTGAAAACTCACTGCCGGCCCTGCAACACAGTCTCATGGGCGTGCTGACCAGAATTTTAACCTTAATCTCCATTTTCTGTTTTTTCATCTCAGCAGTAGCTGCATCCAGTGACCAGAGCCAGGTTCCTATAATTGTTGTGTCTGTAACAGTGGGAGTTATTCTGCTGGCTGTCGTTATTGGTTTCCTTCTCAGTGGAAGGTAAGAGAAGCAGCTGTGTATTTATACATCTCCAACTTTGTGATAACTTTTATCTGACTAGCTGATTAGTGCCATTTACGTGTGAGTACCATGTGAAGGAAGCTGTTGAGCTGTAGCACTATAAAGCAGCACCAGGGAAGATTGATTGATCTGTTTGGACAGCCAGGAATTGCAAATGCATACTTGCAGATGTGGTTCACTTCCCAATGATTTTCAGTTCTGTGTATAGACTGGCCCTGATTACTAGGCTTGATTCTCAGAGGAGCATTTCCACGATCCTTTAAAAAATGAGGAGAACATATTATTGCAGATAAAATATTACTTGATGTATCACAGAGTTTAAAGAGTCTTTAAAGAGTATTGTTTGCAAATCTTCAATTCCGTATGTTTCTACTCAGATCTTGCAATGGACTTTTATCGCTTAGGAAACTTAACTAACATAAAATATATATACAGACAAAGAGAAGAATCTCAGGCATTTGGCCAAATGCCTTAAGTTTGGTAGGGCCTAGGTTTTACTTTTCACATGTAGGATGCTAATATTTTACCCATATACTAATAATTTATCCAGAGAACTACCCTCCTCAAGGAACATGCTCAACTTTAGACCATCAAGCAGTCCAATTGACTTCTGATGTGCTTGGAAATAGGCAAGTGAAAGAAGCATGGGCTGTACAATCCTTAACAACTGTAATGGAAGTTAATAGAACTTGCTGGTGAACAAGGGATTGTGGTAGAGGAGAAGAATCTGACTTGGGTCAGTGTCAGTTTGCACAGCATCACTAAAATTGCATTGCAGCCATATACAAGACACTTTTTATACACTACGTCTGTATTCTTCAATGTCACTGAAGTACCTGTCAAGGCATAGTACATTTATTTTAATGGAAGCAGTTAAACAACTGCAGTGTTCTTCATGCAAAACAATGTAAGATACCCAGCCAGCATCTATTAATACTGCTGAATTTGTTCTCCATGAGGAGTAAAGATTTTTCCTTAAAAGATACTATTCAGCCTACTGTGGCATTTGTGACACAGGTAACTCTTCAGCTTGGGTCTAGCAATGTGACTCTAAACTACAATGTCTGGCAAGTATTAGGAATTGTTACAACATATTTGCAGAGGAACTGCTATGATACCAAGCTTATCAGCTGAAGGTCTTATTTCACAGAGGGAATAGGGCATCTGTTTCTGAAATCCAGTCAGGCTGAGCAGCTGTGTCCCCAGGCATAGGATTCAGGTAAGTGTGCTAGACTCATCTCACTTTAGGGTAGCGAGACTGGTGCTCTCTTGCAGCATAGCCGTTAAAGTGCTTGTCTTCTACTTTGAGAGATTCATTAGGCTTAAAAATTAGAAAGCAAGTGCTCTTCCCTCCAAGAAGTGTGCAGTGGTCGGTAGGGGTTAATGGGAAAGTGACATTTCCTTCTGAGCTTCTTCCTATCTGTACTGGCCATTTTCACATGCTGAAATATGCTCAGTGGGACAAGATCCACAAAGGGGATGCAGGAGAAGAACAATGTGCAAGATAAACTTGTGCCTGGTTCAGATCCTTCCACTGCCTAAAGTGACACTGCGCTGGGGGACAGATGTCTCAGCCTCCTGGGGTAGATGACCCATGTTGTGCAGAGTATTGAAACCACCATTACACAACAGAAAAGTTAGATGGCAGCCAAAGCTCTTGCCTGGGAGATACTGTCCTCAAGCCTTGCTCAACAGAGCTGTTCTCTCAGCCCTCTCCATGAACCTAGGAGCAGCAGCAGGCTCCCAAGAGCTCTTCTGTAGGGCAATGCAGTGGATGTGGAAAGGGGTGGGCACATGGCATGGGGGCTGAAGAGGTTTGCTGGTTTGTCTTTACCCTGTCTGCTACTGAAAGGAAAATCTGGCTAAGCAGGCTTATGATATATCCAGATCTGCACATTTTGCCATCTGGAGAGCTTGACAGTAGTGAAAATCACACTTCTTGTCCCTTAGGTCAGACGCCACTTAGTCAAACTGCCCAAATATCCAATTATTAAAAAAAAAAAAAAAAAAAGAGAGAGAGAGAGAGAGAGAGAGAGATGAACTCAGCTAATTTTCAGTTTTTCAAGCTGTGGCTGCAGAGACTGGGAAGAACTCAGACCCTTAGCTGGCAGTGAGGAAGCAGCCTGAAGCGTAGTGGTAGGGAAGTAGCTCAGGATTGCAGTGTCTGTTAGCCACTTAGAGGTTTTGTGAATTTTAAAGTCTGTCTAGTGTATTGAGTGACTCTAGAGAACAGCCAAATAAACCCCAGAAACCCAGAAAGTTGGCAGACAGATTGAAATTAAACAATTTTGAGACACTTTCCACTGTCTTCCCTGGTTAGTTATTCTAGCATTTGGCAACAGCGGGTTAAATTTCCTTTTCTGTTTCTTTCCACTGTTTGTTTTTTGGAAAGACAGACATTTTGAGCTCCAGCTCCACCTGGAAGCACCACTGCTTCCCCAACAAGTTCCGAAGTCACTCTCCTCCCTGGCTCATGCAGGAAGGCAAGTACTGCTCAGCTCCAAAGATAAGGAGAAAAAACTCATAGGTCTGGACCAGTGAGGATGTAGCCACAGCAGGTTCTGTAGATGGGCTCCTTGTCTTCGCTTCTGTGCTGCTCCCACACTCCCCCTGTCCCTTGAGCACCTCAAAATTAGAGTGTTGCTCCCACAGTTGTTGCATGGCATCTTTTTGCTGGGCATATTAGGAGTGGGGTCACTCACAGTGATGGGGAAAATGAGAAAGGAGCAGATGGGGAAAAGCCTCTTCTCCTCTCTTTGCTTCAGGAGGTTCTATCCCAGCTGTTCAACTCAGGAGTTCACTGAGCTATATGGGTGGGATTTTTTTATCTGCTAGATACCCAAAAGCAGAAGTTTCCACACATCTTCCTTTTGGCTTTTAAGATATCTCTGCAGTTTCTCACTCCTTTTGAGCAAAGGTAAATAACAGCTTGGCATTTCTCATTGGCAGCTGGCCCTACCCAAAGGTCAGTTTGGTGTCAGTCACAGTGGCATTTCCACGCACCAGCGTCCATCTGTGGAAGTGCACTTTGTTGTCGAGGCTGATTCCTGGGAATTTGCAACTAAATGTACTTTGCCCTAAACAATTAAGCTGCGTTTCAGTTCTGATTGTACTTGCAGATGCTCGAGAAAAAGCTTTCTGGAAATAATGTGTCCTCTGACCAAGGTCACAATGCCAGTAGGCAAAATAGCTGATAACTTTTTTAAATCTTTTGCTCCTTAAAATTAAGGGCATATTAGTTATATGACAATCAGGATTACAAATCAAAGAACCACTAAATCAGACCTTTTTTGTCTCAGCAAAAAAAAAAAAAGAAAAAAAAAAAAAAGAGAGAAGTGGATAGCAAATCTATTATTCAACGAGATACAAGCACGGAAGTAAGCAGAGGGTTGTTATGATCGTTGTTTTCTTAGGATTATGTGCTTTTCTCAAGAGCACAATGTATTTTATAGATGTGTCAAGGCTAAATTTGCTCTCCTAGAACGTTTGAATTAGATGCCACTTGTATCACTGTTCTGAATTGAGGTATATGTTAATCAAACATAATTGCAGATTGTTGTTTTCAAACCTATGTGAGACAGACAAAGAAGCAGGGGTCCGCATGCTACCTCCTGTCAGGGGAGTAAGGTGCTGCAGATGTTACAGATGTACCATCAGTCCTTTAGTTCCTATAATAAACCTAAGTGGGAGGCAAGGCACGTTCCAGCAGCACAACGTGGTAACAGCCTGCACAGGAGCAGCTGTGGGAAAGAGACACACAGACAGCTCCAGAGCAGTTTTCCTTGCTTTGCCCCTCAGACCAATCCTGTTTACAAAACTCAAGGAGTCTTGGGTGGAGTGTTGAGGAATGCCACTCCCTCTGGTCCCCCACATGCTAGAGCTTAGTAGCACTAAACAAAGAAATGGGGTTTACCAAGGTAATCAAGAGTTAGGTCAATGTTGAGTCAATTGCTGAGCAATCAGAAGTTAGGTCAATGCTGAGCTGCTTTGCAGAGACCGCACAAAAGAACTAACAAGTGTGCTGTGCATCTGCATTTATAGCCAACTACAAGTTATGGATGACCTTTCCTTCTAAAACAACCTTCCAAAGAACCTGAGGACACTTTTTTCAGAAGTTAACGAAAATATATTTGAGACAGTAAAACCCCGTGTTTTGCAGATATAGAAAGTCTTTTCTGGCAAGGAACTAGCCTTCAAAAGACAAAGCAAAGACAAATCTTGCCACCTGGGTACTGGCAATTAGAGGCTTCTGCACCGGAGCATCCATCCTTGACCTCAGTTCATTTAGACTTTTAAATATCCACCCCTGCAGCGGCAGAGGGCTACTTACTGGACACAAATATGTGCATCTTTTTTAAAAGTGACTTTCAAGGAGCAGAGGGGTTGAAAGGATTGTTGGCATATATTCCAGATCCCGAGCCGCTCTTTGCAGCCTTCTTGATGTAGGGGGTCAAAACGGATGCATTTGTCCACAAACTTCCCTTCCCTTCCCATCCCACCTCCCGCGTCTTTTTCCAATATGTGTCAGGGCTTAAAATAGTTGACTTTTCTGATACTTCCGTAGGAAACAGGGAAGACAGTTCTTAGATAATGTTTTCCGTAAGGAAGATTTTTCCAGTGTGAGTCACATTTTTTTTTTAATTGTGATATTTTAAAGGAATTTTATCTCTACATTCCTGCCTGTTTTTCTTTCTTCCTATATGACATTGTATCTCATGATTTATAACTGTTTTATGATATTGCCTACTGCCAAGTGTACCTCATGATCCACCTGACAACAGAAAGGATTTTGTGGGAAAGACTGTTGCTCTGCTGGATCAAGATTCCCATCCACAAAGAACAGGCCTCCATTCAGGTTAAGGTTTTTACTACACACATCCAACAGCCTCTTTGCTCTTTGGTGATACCTTTTCCTGGAGAGGAGCATCCATGGCATTCGTCCTCTGGAAGAGACTGCCTCCAGTAGCCAGTGACCCATTCCCAGGGCCCATGTGGGAATCTACTGACTCATGGTCACCACCTAAATGCCCTTACCTCATTCAACTACTCCAGCACAGCTTAGCCAGGCGATCTCCTTTCTCCAATAAAACACCTTTGGGCATAGCATATCCAAACAAACACAGCAGGCTTCCAAAGTCAGCTTGAATTGATGCAGTTTTGAAGAGGGTTTAGAGAAGTAGACCGTGTGTCTTGGGTGATTTTGCCCAGGGAGTGGGCAAAGCCTGACCAAGAGTGTAATTCAGCTTGAAGGCCCAGGAGGCACAGCTCTTGAAAGCAGTATTTCTGAATTATTCCAGCAGCAGCTGAGGGAACAGGGCAGACACACTATCATCAGGACTGTGTAACTGGCTGGTAAGTATATCACACACAAGCCTTATCTGAGCCAGGCCAGTGTAGGAGGATACTGCAATCAGTGAAGGAGAGCCATCACCCTCATTCAGAAATGCTGCATTTTCATGGCCTTGAGCAAGCCCTTCATCTCCTTGGGAATACACTTAGATAACATACAGTTAGGGAATCGGGGTGTTTTCAGATAGGATCTTACAATGTCTTAGCTGTGCAATGGGTGGAGAGTGAAAAAGGCCATGAACTTGTCATCCTTCCACACTTTCAAAGATTTTGCTATGGCTTGGGTGCTAGAAAAAAGCATGAGAGCTCCTGGCAGCACTCCATGACGTGACACTTGGTGTTTTATCCAGAGAAAAGTTTATCTGTATTTCCTTGAAGTTTAGCCATAAGGAGATATAATAAAACCTGTTTCCAATAGATTTTTTCAAATGCAATACCCTCCTTTGCCTATGGTGATAGTGCATGCATGATGCACTCAGATTTTTGTATTTTCAGTTCTTCTCCAAGAGCCCAGAGACGTGTTTCAACATGTTTATGAAATATTTCATTACAGGAAGAGGATGTGACTCCTTAGACATTAATAGAAAGCTGAGCAAACCAGAAATATGTTTGTAGCAGTTTGCAGTATATAATGTCACTCCTGTGATGTTTGAAGTAAGTACTTTGACTCATGAGGTGCTGGGTGCTGTGCTGACCTTCTGAGCTAAGGATGCAGTCAGTCATCACTGCCATCTCATGAGGCTGCATGAAGTATTAGAAAATTCCTCCCCAAAAGCCCCAAACATTTCAGTCTCTAATTGCATGCCTCTAACGAACATCCCATTAGAGCAGCTTATTAAAAGCAAAAAGGAGGCTTTCATTTAGCACACTTCCAAGTCTTTGACTTTCAAGTCTTTAACAGCCACAGCTATATAGGGCAGAGTGTCACTGAGCTGCATCTAGGCAAAAAGTTCTCTGGGTCATCTGCAGGTCTGTAGTAAATTAATTACATTGATAGAAGGCACATAAATATAGAAGGCAAAATCATCAGGGTCCATCATATGTATTTTATGAAGCAAGCATGCAGTCCTGGGCTTGAAATAATGCCGGGCTGTGAATAATGAACTTGATTAAAGTCTGTTCTCCAGACAGATTGGTTTGAGAACCACCTAGGCAGTATGAGGTCACCTTCACCGGAACAGAAAGAGTGCCAGCTTTTGTCATCTAAGAGGACTCAAAATCATAGCTTGGTCTAGCCAAGAAGTGGGACTCAGCTCTCAGCACAAAAGTCCTGGAGGACCTGCTGTAGCTCCAAGCTCTCTTCATTGTCCCCAGCCATCTGCAGCCGTTTCCCTGTGCTGATGCTTCATGCACACAGATCACACCAGGTTGCAAACAGGCTAGTAGAGATGCTGCCACCTCAGCTCCTTGCACTTTTCAGCAAAGGAGATTTAACAGTGTAAGTGTTTATTCAATAACCTTCACGAGCATATGGAAGTGCCACCTCTTAACCTTAAGCAGATGCAAGAGAGTTTTGTTGGTCTCAGAGTTTATATATTCTGAAGTGATTATTTTGTTTTGTTTTGTCAAGTATCGTTGCCAAATGAAAAGGTCCTTTAAGCATTATCAATGATAAATCCTCCTATGCATTAACTGCTGAGGCCAAGTACTCCGTTTTCTTATAAAGCTCCTTGGACTGGAAAGCAAATTTTGTTCTCCACTGAACCAGTTTAGTTTATTTCCAGTAGCCTTAGGTTTTCTCTAATGTTACACGTTTTACTATTTTGATCCTCAATGAGATTGGATAACAAAGCATTATGTGACCGGTGCGCAGTATCAGGGCATCAAAGCTCACTTGCATTTGAGCATCTCCCCAACCTAAAAAGAGAGTGCGCAAGGTTTTAAGTATTCTGCACTCACTGCTGCAAACAGATTTTTTTTCAGAGCAGCTCAGTTTCTGGTTAGCCATCCAAACATTTTTCTGTTTTAGAAGACAGTGAGATCTTTTCTTCTTAAGGAAACAGTTGCTTTCAGCTTAAATTGAACTGTTTTTTCAAAATCTTTGACTTTGGATGCTGAGCAGTGTGGAAGGTCTGGTGATAGCAACTGTTAGAAAATGCCCGGGATGAAAAAGGGCTCCTCAATAAAATGTGTGCTAATAAAATTAGAATCATCACAGCCTAAAGATCTTCTAGAGACTTGCCAGTCTCCTGCCACTCAAATCTTGCGAGTTTAGCCCAGAAAGAGCAGAATTGACTCAAAATATATACATTCCACTTCCTTTTGCATGCTTTTGGATTTTGGACCTCCAGGATTAACATGTATCAATGGAGAAATTTAATGAAAGCTGAAGTTCCCCCATATTAATATGACTCCAGGAGCTGGGACATTACAAAAAGACCAAATGTTATCAACTATGGTAAAAGAATTGGCATTGCTGCTTATAAGATGCTTGCAAGTTGTTTCACTGATACAAAGTGAGCTGAGGCATTTTTCACCATCTCTAGTTTAAGTAAGCACATAATCCAATATATAATTCTGTAGATCATTGCATGCCTGAAGTTATTTTGCATCATAATTGAAGGAAATGCAATTGCAGAATGTTAATTTTGTCAAAATAGGCTATTTTAATGTGTTCAGGCATTGTAAGATATACTTTAAAAATCTGAAAGGCACAATTTTTTTGAGAACACTGCATGGTGATGATTTTATGAGAAACAACAAGTGAGATCTTCAGCTGCCTTTAACTGGAGTATCTGTCAATATCACTGGGCTCGTGCTTATGTATCTTGCTGAAGATCTACCTGTTAAATTACTTTAATACATTCAGTAACCAAAAATTGTGTACATTTTCTGAGCAGGATTACAGGCAGTTGTACAGCCCACTGCCAGGTGCAGCCTGATGCCGGGTGAACACACACTGATTAGACGAGAAGATCCAAGTAATACTAATGAACAAGTAGTGCATATGAAAATGTTGCGAATGTATTTGCACCTTGCCAGGGCAGTGGGATTATTCCTTATCCTGGGCCTTTTTGTTTGCTTTTCAGTTGCTGCGATCATGGCTGTGGGTGGGCTTCTTCTCTGCGTGCTGTTGCCTATCCGAGCCTAATATGGTCAGTGTTTTCACCCGCCCTGGCTCCCGTTTGGTGTCCCACCTCCGTGTTTTCTGTGCGCAGTCCGCCACTCTCTCCCTTTCTTGTACTGGCCTGCAAATCGCTTTCTCATATGACCTCTGCACCCAGCTTGTCTCCCTCAACAACTGGAAATAGTCTTACCTGAAGCCCAGTAGTTTTCTAGTAAGAGTAGGGGTCCCCAAGGCCAGTCTGATGCATTGTCCTGTGGTGGATCATAGCAGACAAGATGCCAACAATGTCATACATCATAGCAAACAACATGTAACTTATATGCAGGGCGATTCATCCACATCTGCTTCCTGTCACCAAGAGTAGTTTGCCAGAAAGAGAGAAAAAGAGGGACCAGGTGGGAGGGAGCATTTTTAATGGCATGTAATGTGCATGTCAGGGAGATGGGCCGTATGTCATTGGTGCTGATGACATGGGGCTGTTTGCAAGGATATGCCCGAGGCATCGTGGACATATCGTTGCTGGTGCTGGGCGCCAGGTGTCTGTGCTGCATGCTCCGCCATCCTGCGACCGCCTCTTACTGGGCTGCCTGACCACTTCTGTGCTGTCCTGTTCTCTCCTCTTTCCCAACTCATCAAAGCAGGGGAGGAGTTTAATTTTTCTCTGTGTATTTGGACACGAGTTAAGTTGTTCCCCAGAAGGGAGCTTGGTTTAGAGCTCTGAATCATCTGTAAGCTGTGTGGGCAATCTTCTGAAGCAATCTTCTGAAGCTGGCTAGGAGACATAAAGCATCTGCTTGCAATTGAAAGATGTGGAGGTGTCCCATTCACATTCACGACCGGTTGCAGGTTTTGTCTTCTAGCTAGAGGAGTTGTGTGAAGCTTTCATACTGTCTTCTGGAGGATGCTAAGGCTTTGTGTAGCATTAGCCAGGGCTCACTGTATTCTCTACTGTGAAGCACAGCAGTGGCCAGGGCAGATCATTCCTAAATCCTCTAGTCCCATGGCTTAGCTCTGACAGTGACTGAATCAGCTGCTTTGGGGAGAAAACAAGGAAATCTAAAGTTTGCAGTTTCTTCCCCTGAAGGAGATGGGATCCTGATGGGATGGTGCCTTATCTAGACACCAGCTGGAAGCTATTGGGCTGCAGTTAGCCTATGCCCTGGTCAGCCTAACGTACTCTTTCTTACGCTAAGGAGTCCCTCATGCCTACTGATGTGTTGATGAATTTTATGGCATCTGCATGACAAGGAGCATGGGAAAAATCCCTTGCTTGGAGCACAGGGAACAACTGTGAAAGAAGAGCACTTGAAAGCAGCATCAGAAAGGTAGATCGCTCAGTTTAAAATGTTTGGATGCAAAAAGTTCTTGTTGTCCGTATGGCTGTTTCTGGAGATGACCAGTTTGGGACTGGCTGTGTTAAAAGGAAACCTGCAGTAATTCTGCAGTGTGTCATGCCTGTGCCACCAAAGCACAGGGGTTTGTCCTCCAGATTTCCTTCAGTAGGCAACAAGAAGGTGGCAGCCATGGACAGTCTTGGATGTGCCTGCTCAGAAAAGCAGGGAACACACCAAACAGAGCAAAGAAGCAAGATTAAGTTACTAGTTATAAAGGAAAGAGAGAGGCATAGAGAAAGCCTGACTGACCCCCAAAATGCCCTCTGCAAGTTTCCTGCTAACTCGCAAAGCAATTGATGTGTCAACCAGCTGCTGTCCTTGGAGGCAGAGATGGGAAAAGTGACTTTTAAGGCCCAGGCACCATCAGCTGTGTTTGAGGAAGTCAGAACAAGCTCTTTTAAAGAGATTTATGGGGCTTGTTTCAGCAGGAGCTTCCTGCAAGAGGGGGAAATGGCATCTTGCTTAAATTATTTTTAATTGTTCTCCCGGCAGCTTAGGAAAGCCTGGAGTCATTCAGCTCAAAGACAGGGAGAGACTGGAGGCTAAAAATATTGCAGCTGGAATTTGGAAACTTCCTCTTTACCGCTTCAAAGTCTTTCAGAGGTCAAATACAGGATAGTGCAGCCCTATAGTGTCTGGGAAAACATTGGAAAAGGCAGCGAGTCATCAGCCATCAGCAAGGGAATCTGTGCTGGCTCCGTCCCGGCAGGTCAGCTTATATATCTTTGAACAGAGACAAAGATCTTAGCTTGTAATCTCATCAACTTTTACATGGCTGTCCTCTTCTGATCCTGTTCTCTGAGTTCTAGCACTCGTAGTGGAGTTAGAGGAGGAGCTGAATGAGCCCCCAGCGGTTGCACCAGGTTACTTCAGAAAAAAAGGTTTGGACCCATGAAACGGAAGTAACTTACCACAGATATGTGATCAAAAGGCAGGGAAATGAAATGATAGCAGGAGGAAAGGGAACAGAAAAATAGAAAACTGTGTAAAAGTGATGCAATTTAGACCAGTCCCTTGAGTATTCCCTGGTTTTGTGATACTAAGTATATTCTAGGATCATATGGACCATGGACCAGCCTCACTAGATGGAGGCTTTTTGCCTGACTCAGTTTCAGGGTCATTTGTGAAGGATGAAGTTGCTTATTAAACAGGTTTTTGTCATGTGACAAAAACATGTGAACCAAAGGTCTGGGATCTCAGTTGGACAGAGACTACTTTCTTTATTCGCCTGGATAGACCACAATTCTGCCCTGCGACATGTCCTGTGGGCTTATTGCTCTAACAATCAGGAAAAAATCATCCTAAACTGAGCACTGACCCTGGCTAAACAGGGTGAGATGGCAGCTCAAGAGGGCTTGGATGCAGTACCCAAAGTGAGGCCCCATTCCTCATGGGGAACTTTCAGCACTCTCCTCATTTCAAGGCACACCTTGGCGATGTGCTCAAATGTTTTGGCATCCAGCTGTAAGTAAAAGTAAAAATCTGCCAAATCTCAGCCTTTGGCCTCAAGCTTGACTCTCCAAAATCCAGCCCCATTTAGTAGCAATCCTCTGACCCAATGGCCATAGGTGGGGGAATGGGAGCACCTTTCCTCACACACCTTACGGCTTTTGGGAATGCCCTTGATTTGGGGATGTGTCTCAGGTTCAGGCAAAAACTATCTTTGTCAGTCTGAGCAGAGTAAGCATGACGCTCTCATTTTTTCCACCATTGGAATGGTTTCTGTCCATGATTTGGCTTCTGCCAAACAGTGCAGTGGGCATTGATCTACCAATTGGGTTCTTCATCTTTCTACCTGTCCATTTCTTATTTTATAAACCTATATAGGAATCATTTTACAACTTCACTTTTATAATCTGCCCCATCAATATTTGATGAGCTGCCTGTCAATCTGCAAGTAATAGGAAATAATGCCCTAAGAATATTTAAAATCTCTATTTTTTTCCCCTCTGTTTTTTTTATTGAAAAATTTGGAGCTGTGCAAGGAAGTTATTTGCTTTCTAGATCCAGAAACCAGGACAAATCTACAACAGAAATAAATGACTTGAGATGCAGGCATGCTTCTGAATTACGTCATCTCTTTATTCAAGTATCTCAAGCTCAGCAGGAGATAAAATAAGCATCAGAATCTTTATGCTTTTGCTGTACAGGCTATAGAAAACATTTAGAACATCTCTGTTTTATACAATAACAATGAATGAGAAAACAAATCATGTGAATTGAATGACCTTCAATTTTCAGCTTTTTCTAATAAATATTAAGAACAAATGCACATGCAGAAATGTATTAAATTAGAATTCTTTTCTCCCCAAAATATCTTTTAAAAGCAAAAATGTTGATAATTTATCTGCTGGTAAGCTGTGTTGCATAGTGCAGCAGAACTGCTAACCTCAAATTGCAGGTTTTTACATGATTTGGTGTGGGAAGAAAGAAGGGAAAAACTTCTATTGTATAGCATTGAACGGAACTAAAGGCCCGGAGGGAAGAAGTATAGTTTAGCTCCAGACAACATAATCATGGGCTATTTCTCCAAGTGGTTTAAAGAAGCTGCAAAAGGCTCAAATGATAGTAACAGGAAGGTTTTGAAGGTAGGATTGTTAGTGATGCTGAGCTGTTGCTGCAGAGTCATAGCACACTAACTGCAACTGCACTTCGGTGCAGCTCATTGAGGTTTGTTTTAACAATGCTCTGGGGGTGACAGAACCTGATTTAGTATGTTAATGTGATGTGTTACTGTATGCGTTACACAGCTCTGGAGAGACTGAGACAGGCAGCTTGTTTGCCTTCACCTTTTGAGTGACAAACTTCACCCAACGCAGTACAGCGCTGGCCATTTTGCAATGAGGTGTGCTTAAGACTGCTGTGCCAAGGGGATTACCTGTTCCCCTTCTATTTTATCTCTCTTCAGTTTTTGTATTTACAGCTCTTTGCAATCGAGTCATCCTGAGATGGAGTTAGTAAGAAAATTCTTTTTTTTAGAGATGAAGTACTCTAAACCTGAGGAAGAGATAAGGACATTTGTTTGAAAAGGGTAATGGAGGTGATTTTGCATAAGTGTTCAGTAACAGAAGGATGAACTGAAACCTATTTATGAGTGGAAATCTGAGTTTTTGAGTAGATATTTTGAGACCTCCTTCCCCCATCGCAATCCTAAAAACTGCTTTGCAGAATACTGATTTAACTTTTGACACGTTGCAGCAGAAAGTAAAAAGCGGTTGCCAGAAATGAGGTTTAATACCCACTGTATGTCTAGTTTTATGTCTAGTTTTGTACTTTAGGTGAGCAGAGTTGGGTGAGGGTTGATGAAGACAAGAAGAAACCACTTTCTGGTCAAACCTAGCCAAGGATCTCCCATACCAGAACTGCCACTGATGTGGTGCTTGCTTGGAGGATCTCAGCACACAGCGAGGACATAGTCCCCAGATGGTTAGATGGGAGTGGAAGCAGCCAAGCAAGGAGATGATCCCTCAAATCAGGGCATGTTGCACAGCCTCAGAAGACCTTTTACTGGTGTTGCCTTTGTGTGTGTCTCCCCTCCCAGGCATCGCACTGAGTGCCCGTACCATCCTGCTTTCGCCCTCCTCAGCCCTCCAGCTCAGCAGTGGTACCGCCCCTAGGCGGACCTACTGGCCCCTCTGCCAAAGAAACCACACATCTGGCTCACAGCAGTGATCATTTTGCCAAGCCAGTGCCAAAATCACTGAGCTCTCTGACCCTTAGGCTCCTCACAAAAAGGCAGAAGCAGTTCCCTGCAATGGCGCTTCATACTAAGGTCATGTTTCATGCAGATGCCTTTTGCTGCCTTGTTCTAATTATTGTTTTGTTTCTGCTAATCATATATTCTTGCATGCTGTGAATTGCACTGGAGCACTTGCATCTGCTGACCCAAACCTGTGGGCAATGAAAGAGCAGACTGCAAATTTCTCAACTGGGGATCTGCCTGTGCACACCAGCGGAGTTGGGGTGTCTGGTTCAGATTTATCCGTCTTCCAAGCTGTCGTCCTCTGTCTTGGTCCCTGCACTTTGTTTTAAGGGTGATCTAATTCTTATATCCCCTTGTTGCATCAGGTGCTTGGAAAGGATTATGGGTACATGTGCATCATGTGTGCTGTATCACAGGTTTTTAGCTATATGTGTATGTATATAGCAAATTACTGCGCCAGCATTGTTCCCAGACTGCAGCTTCCCAGGGTATTGTCTGAGTGAAGCAGATCCCAGACATCACCTCAGCAGCCCCTTAAGGGTCATGTGGACATATCACTTAGAAAACCAGTGAGAAGGGTACAGAATCCATCAGTGACAGCAGGCAGATGTTAACAGGAGGAATCCTTGGGGGAGCTGCACCTCTCATTGGCTGCATCTGCAACTCCAGTGTGTGATTCAGCAGCATGCTTTTCATTGTCGGGTATTAATGCCAGAGCTCTTGCTCTTGCTACTGGTTGGGGACATTGCATGAATGGTAACTGACCAGCTAAAGATAGGTGTGCAGGAAACACAAGCAGAGCCAGAAATACATAGGTGATCCATGAGGCAACAGGTATTCATTTTTTATCCCATCATCTTGCATGCATATCAAGTGTGGATATTGGCCCAAGGCTGTTTTCTAAAGCCTCAGAATTGTTAGTCCTGTACAAATGCTCACTGTGAGCAGGAACACACTGTCATGATACCTATAAAAGCAGGGGCTGGGGTTCTGCAGCCCAGGAGATTCCACTTCCATGAATTTAATGTTTCATTTCATTCTCCTTCCATTGTCCTTCCTGTTCTTGCTGTTTTCTTCCTAATAATAGCTATATTAGATGTATGGTATATGGAGGTTTTCAGAAGCACGTGTGGGATTTGGAAGCACAAGGCCAATTGAAAATGAGAGGGCCTTGGGCCCTGAACCACATTAGGGAAATACCAAATAGCTTGATGAGCTAAAACTGGGACAGCAGCAATCTGGCCACTTGAGAGTTTGGACTCATCACTGCTCTGGGTTTTTGTGCTTCTTGTGACTGAAGTAAAGAATGGGATTCAGCTCTACCAGCAACCAAAGCTGCCTTCTTTTGTTTTTTTCCAGGCGCTGTGGCTATAGCAAGGCTAAACAAGACCCAGAAGAAGAAAAGATGCATTTTCATAATGGCCACAGTGAGTAGAGAAAGGAGTTGTGCACTCCATGTTTTTGGCTGTCCATAGTAACGAGAAATTTAAATGGGAGTTTTTGCAGAAAATATTTTGCTGGTAATTCACGGAAGAATGCAGTTAATTTGATTATCCAGAAGTCCCCATATTCCCCTGCTTCAAGTCTCACTGAGAGCTAAGCCCATGATTAACTCTTCCCTTGAACACTTCCATTAAGGTCAGCCAGCTTTACATGTGTCCAGCTCATCCTGTCTAAATTTTTTCCAGGATGGGTCAAACTGAGTGATCTGATTGCAACAAATCTGTCTAGTGAGACATTTTATTTTGTTTCTGTCTTGCTGGTGGGCTCAGGATGCTGTTAATTTTGCCTGGCTGACACATAACAGCATTATGTTTTTGTGATCTGAATGTCTCTGTCCAGCATACCTATTTTAAACCTTGCTCCACCCCAACCAGCAGTGAGGATCTAGACCACAGCTACTCTAGGCCTTGGAGTAAGGAATAGTTACTACTTTCTGCTCATTGAGAGTTTACAGAAATGCTGCAACAGTGCCATTAAGCTCATCTGAATGTACAAATGTGTATGGTGTTACTTAAAAATTTAGATGTATGGCTACCATCAGTCTTTCTGGATATGTTAAAGCTAGTGTCTCAAAATCCTTCCTCTGTGAAGTATTGTGGGGCCAGTGGATGCGTAACAGCTAGGTGCTTATAGGTGTGGAAAAGGCAAATACATCTTGAGTGAAATTTTCATTAGTGCTATGTAATGAAGGCAGCAGGAAGCAAATCAATTAAGAGCCACAGTGTAATGTAACTATTGTAAGAGACCGATGAGCAGTTTTTCATGTGAGTAGTCTTAAAGATTGTCAAAACAAACTTATAATAAGGATAATGAAAATACTTTTCCCTCTCAAGTCCCAGAGAAAAAGCCTGATATTGATTATATTTATTATGATATAACCCACAGGCTTTATTGTACTGCGTGTATTCTGTTCATTTAAATATCAGCAACTACATCTGAAATAATGTGGCTGATTGATTACATAGTGTGTGACTGGTAGGGCAGAATTTATTGCTACTCTCCATCAATCCTCGTCCATTCAACTGGCTTTCCTAGTCATCTCTTCACTTCTTTTCTTTCTTTTTTTGTTTTTTATTGTGTCCTCCTTCCTAATGCCCCCTTTCCACAAGAGGGCTGGTTGTCTGAGCTGCTGTCTTCTGGTGAGGCCTGCCTGATATTCTCAAAAACCTCAAAGGGAGAACTAGAGGAACTGCAGCATGCAGACTTGGAGCTGATGACCCAAGGTCACCTAGGGACATTGGAATGATTTCAGCACCTAAAACAAGGTCTTCCAACATCACATGTTGTAGCAGAATGCTATCATGTATTCTCTGAAATACAATAAAGTCATATGGATGTCACCTACCAACTGAACATCTGAGAGTGCTCACTTGCACAGCATTTCAAAGCACAAAGTATTATGAAGTGTTAACTATTATTTTTTCCAACAAAAGTCAGCTTATTATCCTCATTTGCTATGCCATGTGCTGTTAACATTGTGATTTGTGTTCACAGTTAAACTGCCAGGAGTAAGAACCTACATCGACCCCCATACCTATGAGGACCCGAATCAGGCCGTGCACGAGTTTGCCAAGGAAATAGAAGCTTCATGCATAACCATTGAAAGAGTTATTGGAGCTGGTATGGAAATACTTTCCCTGCCCCTTGGATACATGAGAGTGTTTCCTTTCTTAACACTAGAAATCAGAGATGGTCAATCAGTACATGTTTTATTAGGCACTTTGTAAGCAATGTGGATGATACCTTTGTTCCAGCTGAAGTCTGGGAAAAGCCTGTCATCTGCAACTTTGAAATTCACTGGCTGAACTAAAAGCAACACAAAATAGTCAGTTTGGATCAAGCCAAATTATTTCTATAGATTTTAAAGGAAATGATTCACTTAAATCTCAGGTTCTTTGCGTTTGAGATGCTATTTGAGATGAAATACACAAAGAAAAGCTTAAAGAATTTTATCTTTGAACAAAATGATTAAATTCCCACTTTCTTCCCAGTTAAGTTTGTTTAGATATACATCCAATCTTAGCAATACTTTGCATTTTCTGAATTGTACTTTTGGAGACAATTTACTGTTCACCGTGAAAAAAAATCATTTGAGTTACTTTAAAAAAAAAAGAAAAAGAAAAATACTTGCATAATTGGAAAGAGTTTATGACCTATAAAAATATATATTGCTGTGGAATATACATCCAATCTTAGCAATACTTTGCATTTTCTGAATTGTACTTTTGGAGACAATTTACTGTTCACCGTGAAAAAAAATCATTTGAGTTACTTTAAAAAAAAAGAAAAAGAAAAATACTTGCATAATTGGAAAGAGTTTATGACCTATAAAAATATATATTGCTGTGGAAGGTTAACAGTGTTTCATCTATTTAACTTAACAAGAGAGGGTTGAGAAGCAACCTGCTTGTGTTTTTCAGTTATCTGCATGAGAAAATGGTACAGAATATGACCAAACTCTTAAATCTAGTAGATAAAAACATGATGAAATGAAAAAAAAAAATAGAAAGAAATAGGGATAACTGTTTAGGTATATGAAAATCACTCCAGGAGCAGCCTACGTATAGAAAAGCCTAAGATACATTTCTACAAATGTTTCATTTGTCTCTGATTATCTTTCTAAAAGGCCAAGATTTGCAGTTTTCTGGTTTTCTTGGACCTGTGAATTGCTTGGTTTGCATTATCGGATTGTTTGGGTTGCTCATCACTGGGATGTTCTGCTTTCCACATCCATGAGTGTATTATTGATTAGCAAACTACAGGAGATAGGGTGTGTGCTCTATTTGTTTCCTATAGACAAACCAATGCTGTGCACTTCTTAGGCATGCTGTGATCCTTTTCTTTCCAATTTTCCCTAAAGGGGAGTTTGGAGAAGTTTGCAGTGGGCGGCTGAAACTGCAGGGAAAACGGGAGTTTCCAGTGGCTATCAAAACCCTCAAGGTAGGCTACACAGAGAAGCAAAGACGAGACTTCCTGGGAGAAGCAAGCATCATGGGGCAGTTTGACCACCCCAACATCATCCACCTGGAAGGCGTTGTCACAAAAAGTAGGTACAAGCTGCTGTGGAGCACTGTCTTCAAATTTGACAGATGGGAGATGTGATCTGTGCATAGCAACATTTTTTAAAAAAAATGTCTGAGTACTGGTGAAGTGGCTATGGAACGTTTGCCTTGCAGATCCGTACAGTTTTCTTCCAAAAGCACCTTTCACTTGCCATGAGGCCAGCAGTTTGAACATAGTGACACTGGGTTCCCTGTTCATATCTGCTTTTATTTCTTTTGAAACCACACTGAGTCCAGTATAAACAAAGAAGGACCAAGAAGTGGAAAGACGTTTCCTTGGCAGACAGGGTGGATTTCACTGCCAAGAGTCTGAAAAACCTCTTGGTGGTTTCCAGTCATCATGTTTTGAGAAACCACCAATGCAATGGCAATGGGTCTGCAGGAGGCTAGTGTTGGGGACTTGAATGTGCTCAAATGGGTATAATAAAGGACAGAAGTTGCCTGTTGCAATACTTTTTGCAGAGGCAGAGATGTGAAACAGGAGTGCGGTTGAAGGGGACAGGGCTGTGTACAACTGCTGTTATGACAAGCTCACTCCAGATCTGCTGGTGCTACTTGCAGTAATAGTTGTCCCTGGTGTTGGGATGTATTTTATGAGAGGTCAAGGGCCTAGGAAAAGAGTCACTGTGAAATGGCTGGCAGAAATCCCACTGCAAAAGCTGCTGTTAGGTGCTATATAGCATTGTACCGCTACAGCACATGCTGTAGCTCTGCCCTGAAGGTATGTTCCTGTCATAAGCCCCATCAAAAGGACATGTCCTCTTACATACTCCCACCAGAAGCATCTCATTGATCCTATGACCTACAGCACAGAGCCTGGTGCATTATGGGAAAAAAAAAAAAGAAAAAAAAAAGTAAATAAGTGGTTAGGTGTATCTATTTGGTTCAGATATGCAGAATAAAGTCAAAAGGATTTGCTGGCTTTGTGAAGGGATGTGACAGAAAGAAAAAGGACATGGCTGAGTTCCCATGGGCGCCAAGGGCAGGAGGAGAACTAAAATAAATGCACATCAGGACTCTCTTCAGATGATATTACATGCCCCTTTTTTCCATAAAAGCCTCACCATGTCTGTCCTTTGTGGACAGAAAGCTCCCATTTCTAGACCTATAGGAATGGAGGGTAGTGGACACGAAGCAAGTAACATTCTAATGTTTGTAGAAGCAGCTGCTGACACGAGCTTGAGCCCCTTGCTCTTGGGCCTTCAGGGAATGGGTGTGAATCCCCCTTTTAGAAAGGCTGTCCTGTTTGCCTAGTGATCTGATTTTCCTTAGAGTGGTAGTGGGAACCATGGTCCCCTTGGTCTGGGAACTTTGCCACCTGATTGAGGGTGCTGGATTTGTTTTGTGAGCTGGCAGTGGCAATAAATGCCAGATAAATGAGTTAGCAGGCAGCAAGTGCAGCTACAAGATCTGCCAGTTGTTCTGAAAAAACAAACTGGAGACTGAATTTTGAATGTGTTTGCTGAATCAGAGTCATGGAAATAGCATGGAGATGGAATTTAATGGGATTACCTTACTTTCGGAAGTTTCTAGACTGGGAAAAGTCCAAGCTGGGAAAGATCCAGCAGGGATTCAAATTCAGCAGCCAAGGGGATGGCTCTGCCTACTACATTTTGGACTTTTCTCCCATCTCTGTCTACAGATGTTTACTTTTGCAAGGTTAATCACAGAATAGCTGTGGAGGATAAAAGTTGAGACCGCTTCCTCTCCTTCTGGAAGTAGAGCAGCTTCAAAATTGTTGTTGAAACAACTGGAGTTGGGGTGTAGGGCACATGGACACTAAGTTCCTCAGCAGCTCAGGAAATGCTTGCTTATTGCATTTGAAATTTTTCCATCAGCTCTGCGGACGTTTGCCTATAAGACCCTGTTTTTCTTTCTTTTCTTTTCTTTTATGCAAACCACAACCATCTTCACGAGTTCCCACCAAGATGCTGTCAAAAGCTCTTGCTGCTAACTTCTCTTTCCATTCAGCATTGTAGTCACTTGCCTTTCACTAATTTGGATCTTTAGGATAAAATGTCTTTGATGCATCATAATTTACTTTGGAAGTCAATTAATCTAAATTGAATTAGGCCATTTTTAATTCTGAATGAGAATATCCACACAGGGCTTAATGCATTTTAACTAATCTACTTCAAATGCACACCTTTAGTTAATTTGGATTAATTGTCTTCGTCCCCATGCAGACAAGCCTCTAGCTATTTCTGCTTTGCAGAAGGACTGGTGGTCCTATTTTCATTAGCATCCTACTTGATTGCTCTGACACCATGCACATTGCATTAGTACATTGGTATGAATGACATCTACACATATTTCATGGTCTCGTAATACCAGTGGGAGGGAACCCTGCTGACACTGAGACTCAGACCAGCACTTCCAAACGGATTGTATTTACTTTTAATTTACCTTTTTGAAAGTTGCTCCATTTGTGTCTTTATTTTCATACATTTGGATAGGAGGCTAATTTATTCCACAATTACTGTCAATCTGAGGCTGCCAGATAATGAAACATAAGTGCCAGAAATCTTTTTTGCTTTTCTTTCTCCTTGAAACCCGAAGGCAGGAGCCTGAGGTAGCTCCCTCGGGGTGGTACTGTAATGAGATGCCATTCTTGCTGCAACATGGCCTTTAAGTATCAGTGATAAGGGACCCCATGCTACAGTCAGTTTGCAATCTGTCGTTAAACCGGGCACATCATATATAACGGCACAGTCTACAGAGATTTTTGACAGATGACTAAAGAACCCAGTTTTTACCTTAAGCTGCACATTTACGATGCAGAGAAACACCTTGTCAGAGCACATATGGGCTAACAGCACCAGGTTAGCTTCATTGCTTCTCCTTTTTTTCTTGCTGAAAACAAAGCAAATACAGCTAAGCAAATACAACAACCCCAGAAGCTTTCAAGATTAACATAATGGGAGTTTACACCGCTGGTGCTTAGACCTGTGCCCATCATGCCATGTCCATGCAATCCTGGGACCGTTGCTTAGCATGAAGAGAGTTTAATTGTGAAACTAACCTGTGCCTTGTGCTGCTGCTGACACTGCTTTGCCATACCCTGCATCTGGCTGCGTTGGTTTTCCATGTGAGGCACCAAGTGGATGGTTTGTTTTAGGAACATAGAATCACTATGGTTGGAAAAGACCTTCAGGATCATTGAGTCCAACTGTAAATCCCTCTTTTGTTACTACAGAGTATTTCCAACCTCACTGTCTAAATCTGAATGATTTATCTGTGCTAGCAGAATCTCGTTGTTCTTGTCATGCTATTGCTGGCAAAATACACCTTTATAAGGACCATTCTTTATTTATTCTTTTTTTTTTTTTTTTGTCCGGGAGAGCATTATTATATGGAAGACACAAAGAAGGCAGCTAGAACTACAAAACTCTCCTCACTACAAATGATGTATTTCATGGCAATCCTGTGCTAATAAAGTGCATCCAGTGCAGTCATAGCCCAGGCTATGGACTTATCATGGAGCAGTATTCATTTCATAAAAAAAGAATGTTAACATATGGCATAGTTATGAAACTAGACTAGAAAAATACCCGTGTTTGAGGAAGAATTGTCTCTGATACTATTTTCCCTGCTTTTCAAAAGACTGAATGGGAGCCATTAGGAAAAAAAAAAATACAGGAAATACCTGCAATTCCATAATTATTTCCACAGCAAATAACTTCAGCCAAAATGTCCATGGCCTCTTAAGTATGGAGTAGCAAAATATTTGTCTTCTTTAGGCACAGAGCAAGTAACAGCAATGTTGCTTCATGACAGCATGTTAATGTTGGACGTGCTATACACAGATGCATAGACAAAAATATCTCTTCCTGCCAGGCAGGGTGCATAATGTTATCTAGGGCCCAAAATACTGCTCAGAGGCTGTAGGTGCTGCACTTCTATGAAAAAATTTCTGGTGAGTTTCTAATTCAGACAGTAGCTGTGATATTAAAGCAGTGTTGGTCATTCAGTATCTTCCCAACAGCGAGTTTTTAATTGATAAATAAACAATTACTTGGGTTATGTAGATAATTAGTAAATTAGACAAGGATTTAATGAGAAAGAAGGAAGATTAAGAACAATTCTAAACTGCAGAATATAAACTGATTTTTAAGAGCATTTACCTTCATGTGCATGTTATGACTTGCAGCAGCTCTCACTGATCATTTCTGCAAAAGACATTTGTAATGCACTTCAGAAATAATTGACAACTCCTCTTTTGTCTCAGCTTCATACTAGCTAATGGAAATTGATTTAAATAAAGTAATTTACATGTTCTTATAAGATTTCATTGAATTTACAAGGGCTGGAGCACACTACATTAATTGTTGCTATGCCCTTGTGGCAAGCTAGCAAGAAATTAGATATACAACCTGAGCAAAAACTATATATAATTACCATTAAAATGACCTGAGCATGAAAACTAATCAAATGGATTTGGAAAAACATTGTGAAACATTATTATTCCTGTCAACAATAGAAGGCCAGGTCTTTTGTTCAGAACTTTTATTTTGATCCCTTTTTTTTTTCACTCATTCCTTGAATTAAGCTGTATTTGCAGTACACATCTTGGGAAGAGATTATGTTATTATTTTGGGGACATCAAATGAAATTTTTATTTCCGGGTGTGCTTGCATAGGTAGTCATATGGCATGGCGTGGATTAGGAGAAGGCTGCATTGATCGGCTAGGCATAGGATGTGTAGTGTCAGCGTGACTACTACTTCAAATATTACGTAAACTCCCCCCACAAAGACTCAGTCCCTGACCCCACATACTGTAGGCTACTTTTACTTCCCTTCCTCTTTGAGTCCCCCATCTCTGTGCACATTCATTAAGGCAATAGGTATTGTCATCCCTCTAAGGTAGTAGTATCTCAGTGCAGATTTACTTCTGCATAGCTGCATATTCATGTTCAGAATCGTTATAAAAAGACTTTAATAATTTAATAATTTTTTTTCAATGAATTAGCCGCTGATAAGTTCTTTCTTCCAGGCAAGCCAGTTATGATAGTGACTGAGTACATGGAGAATGGTTCTCTGGATACATTCTTAAAGGTAATACTTTTATAGATAATATTTTTTTTTCTAGGGAGATTTTGGTTAAAGTTTGAGTTCTTTGCTGAAGATTGGTGTCAGTGCAAAATTTTGCTGAGTGCTAGTACTGCCCTTCTTTTTGGATGCAGGAGTAGCTTAGTTGCCTGTTTGATCTGTATACAGCAGCATGAAGGACCTGGTTTGTACATCAGTAAAACCAGACAACAATAAATTGCAGAGTATTGTGCTTATTTTAGAACGCAGTGTGCTGCATGGAAATGATTCACTCATCCTGCAAACCTTTGTGACATTTCAAGAACATCTAGACTGCATTCTGGCTAAACACAAACTTGTCAGAGCTTTTTAAGAAATGTAAGCCTTAGAGGATGGAGGGTGGGGGAAATAGTCAGATAATACATTCAACATCATGAGGATAGCCCTATTCTCAGATTTTCAAACATGGTCTTTGTGGTTACACTTTATGTTTAACTTGATGCCATTCAGGCGGTTGACTCAGAGACAGTCCACCTGAAGCTTTTATTACACGTGTACGCATGTTCACTCCTAGTAGCAGACTCTTCATCACTCAACAGTGAAAACAGCTCACTCCTTGATCTTCAGTTAAAAGAACTACATTTTCTTAGCTTTGTCTCTAAGGAGCCTCTTCCAAGCAATGGAACTTTCTAAAGCTTCATGGTCAGAACAGTATAGTAATGAAATATTAATTTCCCTGTTTTTCTTCCCTGGAGACTAGTCTTTGCATTTTTATTTGTGTGCACATCATGCTGAAGGTGTTGGGACTCTCAGCTGATCAAATATCTCCCTTGTTTTTGCAGAAAAATGATGGGCAGTTCACAGTCATTCAGCTGGTTGGGATGCTGCGAGGCATTGCATCTGGGATGAAGTACCTGTCTGACATGGGATATGTGCACAGAGATCTTGCTGCCAGGAATATCCTAATCAACAGCAACTTGGTCTGCAAAGTTTCCGACTTTGGGCTCTCCAGGGTCCTAGAAGATGACCCTGAAGCAGCATACACTACCAGGGTGAGTTATGGGATGCTGACCTGGTTGAGCTCAAGAAAAATGTATTCCCTGTCATATTTAGTAGGCTCTTTAGAAAACAGGTTTCCATAAATGCAAAGCCACCAAACTCTGTGCATGAGAATTTGGCCAGATGTTATTTGTTAATTGTTTTCAGATTAATTTTGCAAATATCTGCAATGTCTTATTGGGAATGGCCAAAGAAAGCAGATTTTGACATCTTTCTAATAATGTTTAAGTCCATATTGAGCACCTGACTGACATAACCGGCTTTTGAAAAGTGCCACATTCCCGACTCCTTTCTGTTCTCTTTAGCAAATACTGAAAGGGATTAAAAACCAAGAATGGGTGCATTGCCTAGGTACATATGGAGACATCTCAGGCCTGATCTCCCAATCAGCTTAGCCTTTTTAAAACATGTCTAATTACCTGATACTCATTGCTACAGAAGCAAATTTTCCCCTGCAGTTACTCCACATCAGAGGGAGTTGGTGGCAGTCTTGGTGCTCAGTCTCTTGCTGTGGCAGGATCTTAGACTTCATGGGCATGAGCCTACCCTCCTCAAGGCAACATGCCCCAATGCTAGTACGGGAAGGGCGTGAAATATTGCTGTGGAAAGAGGGCCAACACGTCCAACCTCACCAGCCCTGGCACTGCAAAAACTTCCAGTAATCATGGCAGCAGCTGTCACAGCTTGACACTGCCTATTTACACATTTTTCCAAGTGTATTGTTTTGTGGGTAATGTAAGCTCTGCGGGTCACATTCCCAGTTCCTGGGGAGATTTGGCAGTCAGGGAGAGACATTTTGGCTGCTGACAGTTGCAGCCCAGCACTGGGGCTCTGTGCACGGCTGAACTCAAACCTCCCTGCAGGCTGGAGGGTTCCCAGCCAGCTCTGCTGCCGCCACGACCTCCTGCCCTGTGCTAATTGGCAACACTGAGAATCTGGCCCCTTGCTTAAGGTATGCCCTGATAAGCCTGTGAATAAATAACTATTGTAAGAAGCTCTTTTTTTTTCTTTTTCTTTTTTTTTTTTTTATTTGAAACGTGACATATGGAGCTTTTGTAAGATACCAACTTGTGTGTGAGGAAGGTCACCTTAAGGTATGCATGGACCTCAGCACACGTCAGCAATTAATACGCTTTTAAAATATGTTCCAAATTCTGTCTTTTTCCAATGGCAAATGCTCTTTTCAGAGAGACTTACTAATATTTTGCTCAGCACTGGGAGTAAAGGACTTCACAATAATGTGTATATTTTGATATAAACAATCTTTAAACCCAAAGATGAAAGTATTTCTTAATCCAAATTCTCCTTCTCCCCTCATCCCTCCTGGGATCGGTTTGAGGTTGTTCTAAAACACTAGAAGAGGGACAGGGAAATAGCAAAGCACATTTGACAGCTCTCCACAAAGGGCAAACCACAGTTGCCAAACCTGCAGCAGAGGCCAAGCATGTATACATTTTTGTGCCCACTGCACAGGTCCAACTGCAGGATCAAGACCTCAAAAAGAAATGCTCCTTCACCAGCAATTTGCATGAAGTTCTCATTAGATCAAAGTCTTCCTCTGATTCACAGCTGTCTTTTCCTCCCCTGTTCACTCTCAGAAAGTGAGGAGCTGTATTCCCCTACCATCCAGTGCAAAATAATTGAGATGTTGATCCTATACATGTCCCAGCATTCAAAGAGAATTCAAACAACAAACCTTCAGGACAGCCAATTAGTAGGCAGCCTACAAATGCTTATGGGCTGAGATAATGTGGATAGGGGCCCCATGCTGTCAAACAGATTTACTTTAAAATTCAATGTCTCTTTCCACAGAGAAAATAGCATCCCTCAGTGCTCTAAGAAGTATTGTTTTATCCTCTTTTGCATGTTTTATGCCCTCCTCTGCAATCTGCTTTTTTTTTTTTTTTTTTTTTTCCATTTCTAATCCTAGGGAGGGAAAATCCCCATCCGGTGGACAGCACCCGAAGCAATCGCCTTTCGCAAGTTCACATCAGCCAGCGATGTCTGGAGCTACGGCATAGTGATGTGGGAGGTGATGTCCTATGGAGAGAGACCGTACTGGGAAATGACAAACCAAGATGTAAGCATGGGCAAGGACTGCTGTGTGATGGGTCTCAGGAGCTTAGCACACATTCTGCGGTCAGAGAGGCAGGATTGGGACCAAGACCCTCGTTAGGACAACCATTATAAAAACAGCTTTGCTCTTCCATATCTTTCCTGTGCCAGAGAAAACCAATCCTTCTCCTGATGCATTCTTTTGCAGCAGCTCAGAGCAGCCTTTGTGCAGAGGGAAATGTGTCTGTGCAGAGGCAAGCCTGCTTCCCCCGACAGATTGCTGGATCTCCACTAATGCTGTTAGAGCTGGAGACTGTTGCTGTTCTGTCTAATGACAAAGGTCTGTCAGGGGATAGATGCTGATAACTGGCAGCTTTTCAAGTACATGTACGAACCCCTGCTGTCATGGAAAGTAGAACATGCAAGAGCTGTGGTGAGGGCTTGTTCCCCTGCACAAAAGCTGGATGCTGCAGTTTAGTGATTGCAATTCAACCTGGCAGCACTGAGATCGGAGTTTCAGTCATCCTCGCATTGTCAGTATAGAGAACAGTTTTACTCTTTTTTCTTCTCCCATCATTTGTAGTGTCCAGCACAGAGATGTCTGAGTCTCTTTAAGTGCTACTTCTGACTTTCCTCTGCCCATGAGAAGGAACTACCTTCTCAAATGCCTCTCCAGACACTCTCTCACTCTTTGCGCCAGCTCTGATGCTAGTCTGTGTGAGAAGAAGGCTCTCCCTCTCCTCCTCATGGCTCTCTTCTACCTTGAGCTCACCATAAACATCTGGCTTTGTCTCCGTTTAAAATGTGATATTGAGTTTGACAACCTTCCCCTCTGCATCTCTGAGAAATGTGACATATGGAGCTCTTGTAAGATACCAACTGGTGTATGAGGAAGGTCACCTGAAGGTATGCATGGGCCTCAGCACACCTCAGCAATGCAGAGAAAAAATATGGCACTTCTGGTTGTGGCAAAGGGAAACTGTCGTCTTTGCTCTCACCTCCATCCTGCTTCATGTCTATGGAGACCTGTTGCAGGCCTGGATGGCACAAGCATCCTGGATGGTGGTGAGAAACCTTATGAAATTCAACAAGGCCAAGTGCAAGGTCCTGCACCTGGGGAGGAATAACCTCAGACACCAGTACAATTTGGGGACTGACCTTCTGGAGAGCAGCTCTGCAAAGAAGGACTGGGGCATCATGGTGGACAACAAGTTGACCATGAGGCAGCAGTGTGCCCTGGTGGCCAAGAGGACCAAGGGGATCCTGGGGTGCATTAAGAAGAGCGTCTCCAGCAGGTCGAGGGAGGTGATCATCCCCCTCTACTCAGCTCTGGTGAGGCCACATCTGGAGTATTGTGTCCAGTTCTGGGGTCCCCAGTACAAGAGGGATGTGGATCTGCTGGAGAGAGTCCAGCACAGGGCTACAAGAATGGTCAGGGGCCTGGAACATCTGCCTTATGAGGAAAGGCTGAGAGAGCTGAAGAAGCTCAGAATCTTCAGCCTGAAGAAGAGAAGGCTGAGAGGGGACCTGATCAGTATCCTCAAGGGAGGGAGGGAGGAGGATGGGGCCAGCCTCTTTTCAGAGGTGACCACTGTTATGACTAGAGGAAATGGCCACAAACTGAAGTACCCAAAGTTCCACAGGAACTTCAGGAAAAAAATTCTTAACTGTGAGGGTGACAGAGCACTGGGACAGGTTGCCAGGAGAGGTTGTGGAATCTCTTTCTCTGGAGATCTTCAAAACCCACTTGGACATAGTCCTGTGCCATGTGCTCTAGGTGATCCTGCGTGTGCAGGGGGCTTGGACTAGATGATTTCTAAAGGTCTCTTCCAACCTTAAGGATTCTATGATTCTAAGCAGATCTTTGCTCTGACATGGATGTCCTCTGGCCCTAGCATAAGGCCTGAAGTTTCCTCTCCTTTTCTTTGACCAGCATCTGTCACCTTAACTTTTTGCCGTTATGGGTCTGATGTTTCTCCTATATTTTCCTGTGGGCCTTTGTCATCAGTGAATGTCACACTAGACTGATGTCTCATCCTATCTGTTACCTGTGGAGTCCAGTCTGAGCAGCACCTTTGAGGTGGTCACACCTCACATCCTGACAGGAAGGCAAAATTGTAGTGTTTGGTGTGAATGCCCCACCAATCTGAATTGCTGATTCTGTGACCTTTGCAGAGAGCTTAATAAAACAGCATACATATGCAAAGGGGGTTATCTCAGTACTGGACAGAAGCTTTCTTCCATGCCCCATGCAGACAATGCTGCAGTTTTGAGCCAAGCTTTTCCAGTTGCACAGAGCACTGTAGCTGTTTTTAATGCTGAAGGAAGATCGTAAAACAAATACTTTTCAGTAAATGGCAAACTAAGATTCAGACTGGTGCCAATGGGATAACATTCAGTGACCAAGGGAGTTCCTGTCTGGATAGTGAATGCTTTAAACATCTACATCTGGCACAACTCCCCCCAAAAATAAATGCTACTGTATCCTGTGAGACAGTCAGTGCATTTCACACTTATCTGAGGAAAAGTGGATGGATGGGTGGTTTCTTTAGCAGCAGAAAGTAGACAATGCTGTTGAGATCTTTATGAGCATGTGGTGCTGATTAGGCATTGCTTAGATCATCTCTCTGCCCATAATATCCATTGCTGGCAACTGCCTGGGTGATAGTAACTTAGGAAACTTAAGACTTGTAATGCAGAAATGTTTCTTGTGATTTATACCTTCCTCCTCTATATCCTTATGACCCCTTCTTCTTTCCTTGCCTCCTCTTTTCGACAGAATGAGAAGTGTTAGATTTTGTGCTGGTATTCTTCTGGAGAGCTATGGCAGTCTGCTCCCATAAATTTCAGTCTCTTTTGCCCACCAATTTCAGTCATGTGGCTTGCAGTTAAAGCACACTGCTTGTAGGTATTGAGCATTGAGCAAAACTGCGCTCCTCATGATTCGTTCAGATTGTTCCTGCCCATGTTAAAGGAGGTGCAGTGTTGCACCGCAGTCACTCTTGCAGCTCCAAAGGCTACAAAGCACCCTTTAAAGGCATAAAGGTTTTTAGATGGCTTTCTAGACCATCTGATGGGCTGAACCACAAGATAAGCCTTTGATGAGGAAATTCTCGAGTGGAATTTTGTAGCATCTCTTACACAGGATGGTAAGTTAAATTATTATAATGGTGGTATTTTAGTCTTAGAAGTTGTGGTTTTGTGAAAACTGGGAGTTGAAAGTGTTACTTTGGTTTACTGGAAGAAAATGTCTCAGCTCATCCTCTGGCAGACATCCCACATTCAACCATCCCAATCCCGTAACTGAGAAACACATTTTCAGAAAAAGACAAGAGACAAAATATTTCCTACTAACTGCAAAATTTTGCCCCCCAAGTCTCAAGAAATGTGCACCAATGACCAAAAAAAGCTAATGTACCATTTTATTTTCTAAGTATTGTGGTTGCTATTAGTGCCTTGATTGTTGTTTTATTCTTTTACTTCAGTTAAAGACAGACCTTTATTCCCAGACACCTTGAGATAACATAAGTATATTTCAGCATCCCAGCTCCTTGCAGTATGTTGATGCCATTTATATTATATCACCAGAATGAATGACATCCTGTAAATTGAGTTAACGCTATTGATTGGGATGTTACTGCCAGGAATAGAAAGTATACATAACTGCATTGGAGATGTAGTTCAGATAGTCTGAGCTGGTGCCAGATGGTCTGGTACATATCTTGCTGCTATTTTCTTTCTTCTACAGTTGGAGGATGATCCCTTTTTTTAAAAAAAAATGTGTATGTACATGGCAAATAAGGCTTAAAAGGTATGCTACACTGAGATTTTTTATAAGGCACTTGCAAATTTGAGGTCAGAGATCATCTGAAAGCACGTTATGTAGAAAGCGTAGTATGGTAGGCCTGTTTTTTGATATTATGAGCAGAAGCAGAAGCAGTATTGTAGAAAAAAACACTGTATTGTAGAAAAAAGCAAATGCAAACTTTCATTTGTTGGGTAGAAAATGGTGCAGCTGCTCCACTGAGAGGTGAAATCTGTGGAGATATTCCTACTGTTACCTCCAGGCTTTAGATGGGTCACATTTTGAGCACTGCTGGTCTCATAGGCCAGATTTTCAGACATGCTGAGTACCCTCTGAGGAGATTGCAAAGTATCACACAATGCCTCATCTACTACATGTGCTCTTAGAAGATGAGATTCTCCCTGTTCCTGCTCAGCCAGCTCTGCTGCTTCGTAGGATTTCTCCACTTGGAAGCAAACAAACAAACAAAAATAGGATAGAGAATGATTTGAAAGTCATATGGTGGTGCTGAGTTTTGGAGCCTTCTGAAAGACAATGTCAACCTGAGATTGCTCATATGGTATTGCCCATCAGGGAATTAAAGAGCTCTGGGTCAAGAAAACAACTCAATAGGCTAACTGCAAAAGCTTCTTAAAAAAAAAAAAAAAAAAGATGTTTTAAAGCAAAAGTGATACAGTGTATAGAATGAATGGCATCTGAGGCTGTGTTTGGACTCAAGCAGTGAAATGCTATCGTTTCCCACATGGCCTTTACCATCAAAAAGAGTTGCTTCCAACTCCTTTGGGCCAAAGAGTCTTGGAGCAGAGTGTGAAAGAGTGATGAGGTTCTCTTGGCATGCTGGCACACACACATGAAATCAGAGCTGTATTTTCCTGAAGAGTTTTAAGGGTTTAAAGTGGGAACTGTGGGGTTCTGAGCTCTGTTGTAAATCCATCAAAAACTGGGGAAAGCAAGTTGCTTTATCTATTTCTGCTCTTTACAATTTGTTTCTGCTTCTCGAGCACAAGCAGTACATATGCATACCACTTGTTTTAGCTGTAAAGCCCTTGATAGTTTGTGTTGGAAATCAGTTCAACAACCTTCCTGTTTTAATTTGCATGCTCTTGTGCTGACATTTTAAATTTCTGGCAGAAATGTGGACACTCTAAGAAACAATTACACCCGGGCAATATATGAGATGGTTGCTCTGCCTCAGCCTTGAATCAATCCATCAATTAGCATTCAAGATCTCTTTTGAAATACAGTCAGACTTTTACTACTGTAACACAAATTTGTGGATAAGGCACAGGCCTTTTCATTTAAAAAGAAGCCAACAGCTGAATAAACAAAATTACTGTACTCCAAGGCACTGCTGGGAAGCCCCATAGACTGCTTTTTGCAGACTGCAGCAGGCCTAGGAAGTTGCCTGGTATAACCTGCAGACCTCATCAAAGCCTTGAACACGTCCAGCCTGAGATCTGGCGTACCACTTATACCTGTATCTTGAATCTCTAGATTCATTTTTCAGGGATCAGAAATATATTCAACCTATTCTGTAGAAAATGGGAAAGATAAGGGGGTTTACTGTTTTTTTACATGTATGCAGAGGTTGCAGGGAAAGTATTGCTGTCCTATAAGTTCCCTGTTTACATCAATTTACATTTGGGAAAAAGGTAAGAGGAAGAAAAGCAACCCACAGTCGTGTGTTTTGTCTCCTGTAGGTGATTAAAGCTGTGGAGGAAGGCTATCGCCTGCCAAGTCCCATGGACTGCCCCGCTGCTCTCTACCAGCTAATGCTTGACTGCTGGCAGAAAGACCGGAACAGTAGGCCCAAGTTTGACGAAATTGTCAACATGTTGGACAAGCTCATCCGTAACCCAAGCAGCTTGAAGACATTGGTTAATGCATCCAGCAGGTATAAATTCAAGCCTGAGTCATTTCTCAAAGCAAGATTCTTCTCTGAATACCCACCGCTATACCAAGCGGTATAGAATATCTAAACCAAATGGTATAGAATTACCACTTATTATTTGTCCATCTCAGATCATTGCATGGATATTCCTCCACCTTCATTATATCCAGGAGAGTTTTCTCAGATCAGTTCCTTGTGTTGAAATTGGCAGACAGATGAGCGATTCAGTTATTTTATAAATGCAGTGCTGCTGCCACAAGGAAAATTACTGTGGTCTGTCTTTCAGAAACTAGAGTTTCAGCAGTAGATATAACTTTGTGATAAAGCTGCCTCTGCCCTTACCCTAAGGTTAGAGAGAGCAAGACTGAGCCTGTGAAGTATGTAGTAAACACTGCTCAAATTACCTCCCTGTTGACTTTATCCTGGTAATATAAATAGGAAAGCCTCCAGGGGAAACGCTTTTGATTTGCAAAGCTCACAGAAGTCCAAGTACCTCTCTTCACAACTATCCCTAGTCCTGTTAGCCATCACCTCTGGCTAACTTTGGTTAACCTCTTGGTTAGCCATCAACTCTTGGCTAACTAGCTCTGGCAGTCTTTGTAAATACAAGAGAATCTTTGTGGCTCCCAAAGAATTGAACTCAAATGATTTTCTAAAAATGATTTTCTAAACCACATTAAGTAAACAGAGCAGCCAGTGTGCAATTAAACATGCATCTCAAGAGCTACACAGCTAGCAATAAGGTAATATGGTCAAAGAGTAAAACTCCATATGAGAAAATATAGGGATTCATATTTTTCAGTGAGTTCTATTACTGGTCACTCTACCATAAACTTCTTGGGAAGGGTGTTTTTTTCTTTTTTTTTTTTCTTTTTTTTTTTTTTTTTTATTGTGAAAAAGCACAGTAGTACTCCTGAGCCAAATGTGCCACTAATCACTTGATTCCTCACAAGGTCATGGATGAGCAATGTATATAAATCACTGCTGCTTCACAGATATTAGTGATATTCCACTGATTAATACTGGATGAAACTCTGGCACTTTAGAAACTTTTACTCCCGGAGGAGAAAAAGAAAAAAAAAAGGATACAAATCATTGTACTGACAGCACTTTACTATAGATGAGGCACAGATGTTGAGACAAGGTTATACTGGCGGTGTGGACCAAAGCAAATTTATTGTGTGTGTGCAGAGCTGTTGCATCCCCATTTTTGGAATGACCCTTGCACAGCAACACGTGGCCCATCTCTCCTGTTCCTGCTACACCACACATTCTCTGTCTCTTTCCTCCTTTCCCAGGAGTGGGGCTGCAACCTTTTTCTGTGATCCTCAAGTACCTGAGGTTGCAAAGCCCAGAGATACTACACTAGGGAATCCCCTTGCTCAAAGAGAGAAGCTCTATATTCCAGCTGGGATCAAGTGTCATGTTCCCATACATGACATCTCAAAATGTACAGAAGTTTTATGTCTATTCTCTCCTAGCGTATAAGATGCCATTTTTAAATACCAAATGGATCTATTCCTTGGGCTATTTCACATGCATCATTAACCATTTGAAGAAGCAATTGAAGAATAAATCTTTTTAGCGCTTAGTTGTAATGTCAGTCCCAGCAAACCTTCCGGAAAAGGTTTATGATAGCAGAAAATATGTGTTGTTTCTCTTTCATTTTCAAAGTCATTTTGAAGGTATGCTACATTGTGGTTGATATACATGCTATACCAAATGGTTATTCTAGAAAAGATGAAAATAGGCAGAAAATTATTTCCTTGAGTTGCTAAGCACTTTGCTGGTATTTTATTGCATGTACAGGTCTGTTCAGTTCCAAGCTGCTTATTTTCATTTGCGACAGGCATTTTGAGTGTGGATAGAGCATTTGAACCGCCAAGTTTTTGTGGTGCATGTTTTCTTAATTGTAGAATGCCATGCTCAGAACACAGTATTTCCAGATGAAGCATTACTTCAACATACAGCAGTTTTAAAGGATTTTGTTTTATATATGTAATGTATTCTTTGTGGAAATTCTTGTCAGTGCAAATAAGGAAGTAAATCACTCCCTACATTACAACAGGTGCATATCAGTAGGTACCTCATGACATTAGTGATGAAAATCCACTTCTTGTTATGATTACTTAGGAGTCATGAATTTCTCATGTGTATAAAATGTTATGGGAAGCCATTATGCTCTCGGTGCTGCAAGTATTCACATTTTATTGGACCCTTCAGCATCGCTATTAAATAAACAAATAATACTAATGCGATCATAAAATACGCGAATCTTCCTGAAGTGTTAAAATATCCCAGCTCTCTTTTCACCTGCAAATTCTTTAAGTGTATTTCTCACGGTCAGAGTCTGATCCAGCAAATGTGTTTTCTGGTGGGTAATAATCTTGGCACAAGGCTTATGATAGCTTTATGTCCTAGAGCACAAAACAGGAACCTTGGGCAAACCCCTACACTCTCTGCATTTCACTGGAGGTATAGAAAATGCATTGCTCATACTATGCATTATATTAGTATTTCTGCTGCAATGAAGTGTTACTATATGTCTAAATTTTTTCTTCCATGCATGGCATAACTGAATGGTGTGAGAGTTGCCATGATGGGGTTTGGACGAGGGTATGAAACAGGAGTCTTCTTTTGATTTCTGGGCTAAAACATGAAGGTAGCACTGAGCATGGTGTTTGGTTTCGAGCACTGCTGTTCTCTCCAGGACCTGCTGGCTGCTAGCCAGCGTCTGAAAGCCCAGCCTGACTTGGCATAAGCTGCCCCCGAAGTGTTAACAGCAGCCTGCCATTGACAGTTGCTACTGGGAAATGTAATTTGGGTTTTGGCTTGTAGGCTTTGGGCTGTCTGAAGTTAATTATTGGCTCTAAAGAAGGAATAAAAGGAAGTGAGAGAAGCGAAGCTGGAGTCCTTGAAGTAGGAAGAATTGCGGGAAACAGTGTGGAAAGACAGCTTCCTTGTGAACAAGAGGTGACAGTGAAAGATTCTGAGAATTTCCTCAACTGACGTTCTCTAAACTTTCTACCCAGAAAAAGTGGGCAAAGGTACAGGTATTGGAGATGATGCAAGTCTTGCTTAGCTAATCCTTCATAATCACTTGCGTTTTGTTCCTGAAACAAGAATTTAGAAAGTTCTTACATTTATCATTACTGAAAGTAATGATTACTGAAAGTAATGATGAACTGCAAATTTGGGAAAATCTCTTGCAGGCCTTATTAAAGGTCTAGTTCTCTGCACCTCATTTTGGTTGAGCTACAGTTTTAACAACTAAGCAACAACTGTTTATGAGACATAATATTTACCACACAACATGAACTTGATGAGAGGACTCTGCAGTAATCACTGGAGAATGCAACAAAAGAGCTGTCTACACCATATAAAAATATGACAGAGTCATGTTGGGTACAACTTGATTGTGTTTGCTTCTCTGTTTTTCTGTTTTTGTTTTTGTTTCTAGAGTATCAAATTTATTAGTAGAACACAGTCCGGTGGGAAGCGGTGCCTACAGATCAGTGGGTGAATGGTTGGAAGCCATCAAAATGGGACGATATACAGAGATTTTCATGGAAAACGGATACAGTTCAATGGATGCAGTGACTCAGGTGACCTTAGAGTGAGTACTTTCTGGATCATTTTCAACTCATTTATTGGAATGGGAAGCGGGGAGAGATAAGCCATATGAAAATAAGTAGGGGAGTGGCTCCAGAAAGGAAAGCATTGCTTGTTTGCAGCCAGCAGTTTCCAGAGAAGCATGCTCTTTCAGCATCTATATTGATGATAACAAATGCAGGGAAGACCAGAGCTTATCATCGCTTATTGACAGCCAGCACATTGACTCCTTTGCTCAAATATATTAGTGCTTGAGTTTGAATAATTTACAAGCTGTCCTTCCACAGGAAGAGTAGTTGATTAGATGAGGTCTTGACAAAATTAAAAAAAAAAAAAACTACTAGTGACTATGTACAATCTTGTGTTCCCTCAGACCTGTACTTGCTTTCTACTAGATGGTTGAGGAGTTACCCAGATTTACCCAAAGCTGAGTGGACACTCATCTCCATGAAAGTTAACAGTATTTAACATTAGTCTGACACATAGAAATAAACCTAGACACAACTGATACTCATACAAAAGCATCAGGAAATCCACAGCTACAGGTGACAGGCTCCCTTGCCTAGACTCTTCCTTCTAACTTTCCTCAGGCTTTTAAAGCAGGCATGAGTTGCATTTTTGCTGTTTTTTGCAACAGCATGAATCAGACCCAGGAGAAACCAAATGCTGCTAGCAGACTTTGATCAGTTCTTTGTTAACCAGTTAACCAATATTTTATTGCCACCAAGGCTCAAGTCCTACCATGGAACCAGCTCCTCTTCTGCTAAAGTCATCAGGTCAGCAGCTCCAACGGCAGTAGTACTGGCAGTGGAACTGGGACCACAGCACTTGTTGTGCCTTCCTCATTTTCACATGCATGTGCTAGTGGTCAGGGTGACAGCACTGCATTACCTGGTAAAAATTCCTTGGGGCTGCTGATTTGTTATGCTGTATCTTGAATTGCCTGTGTAATTTGTGTAATCGCACCCTTCCTTCCTGCCTCTTATTTGAACTTGCCTGCATTTCTAGTCAAGTTAGCTTGAATTACAGTTGCACAAGCATTGAGGCAAAGTGGTAAGGATTAGGCCATGCTTGGGGCTAATTTGTAATCAGAGGTCCTGGCTGCTCCAATTACAAGCAGGTCAATGCAGCTGAGTGGCCAGCATGCCTACAGAAGTGGAGCAGATGATTAAGGAAAAAGTCTAAAATGCCCACAGAACTGCAGCATTTCTCCTAGTTGTCACAGGCTTTTCTATGGAAACGTGCTGCAGAAGCTGTGAATTCCTTTACGCATGATGCAGAATTTAGCCATTTGATCATCAGCGCAGGTTCTGGTGGAAAATAGAGATTCCCAAAAATATATCACAGACTTACCAATGCTGGCTGCAGAGGTTCTACCATTCCTTAAAAAAATAAAATAAATAAATAGATAGATAGATAGATAAATAAATAAATAAATAAAAATTCTTCAGAAATGAAGTGCTTTGGTTTGTGTCAGAGAAAACTTAGAGCTAACCCTGAATTATTAGATGTTTTTCACTTTTATTTTTACATTTGCTAGTAAATTATAGTTGCATCGCCCAGCTTCAGCTTCAGGACACTGAATTGCGGTGAAAGAAGTTGTAGAGTCATCTTCTTTGGAGATCTTTCAAACCTTCCTGACATGACCCTATGCCACGTGCTCTGGGTATCCCTGCTGGGGCAGAGGGGTTGGACCAGGTGATCTCTAGAGGTCCCTTCCAACCTCAACTTTTTCGTAATTCCATGAATTAGAAGTTCACTTGGGCATATAAATCTACTCGCTGTCGTGGCATCTCTCTTCCTTGCACACTGCCTAAACAAGGACTACTTAACCTCTGCTTCAGGAGAGTCCCCTTCATTTCCTCAAAATCACACAAAATGCAGTGCTTCATAAATGACACTCAAGTATTCCTTAGGTCGCGCATGTATGATTTGTAAGTAACAGAAGGATTTACTGTGCCAAATAGACCTGTTTTTTCATGTAAAATCTCAGAAGACCTTAAGTAGCCCTCTCATCACAGAGCCACCATTTTCTTCATCTTGTTCTCCCTCCATTTGAATCTGTCCTGTTTTCTTTGATTTGCAGCCACAATCTCTCTTTTAATCTGTTCCCTGCTTCCTCCTGATGTTTCTTTGTCTTTTTACTCTCTTCTGGCATTACTTACTGTTTATTCTTTTTATTATTTTCATTAATTCTTCTCTCATGCTCATATATCTGCCTCCTATTTTCTTCTCTGCCTCATGGAATACTTTTGAAAACAAGTCTATTTTGAAAGAAATTTTTCCTTTACCAGGTGTGGTTCCTCAGTTTTGCTTTCTTATTACCTAGAGTAGTTACCCACAATAGGTCTTCTTGAGGCAGTATGCTTTTACATGAAGACAGGCTCAGTGTAGGAGACATGGAAAGACATTTAAGAAATACATCCACATTTTATTTTTTAGGAAAAAGAACAGAGGCCTTATTGTAGTACATGCTAGCAAATAAAATCTAGAGGATCCAGAGAGTCTCACATCGAGAGGCTCATGCAAAGGCATCATGCTTCTCCAACAACTCTGCCTTGTATGTTTGCATGGTGTTGTGTTTCAGACAGAAGACTTGGTCCTGCTCAGGTCTCTTCTTGGGAAAACTGGGGAAGATCAATTAAAAAGCCAAAAATGGCAAAGCAGTGAGGCCTCTGTGATACCTCTTACATTAAAAAAAAAAAAANAAAAGAAAAAAAGAAAAAGAAAAGAAAAAAAAGAAAAAAAAAAGCTATTAAAATTAGATGAACCACCACAAATTTCAGTGGCTTAAGAGAAAAGACATCCTGTGTTTAGGACCTGATTGGAGGGCTCAGATTGGTGTAAACTGGTAGATTACCCTTAAAATCAACAAATGCTTATCTGGATTCTATGAGGAGTCATCTTAGATGCTCCCAGCTTCTCCAGAGAGACTCAGGAAGAAACCTTTGAACATGCAAAATTCTTTAAAGGTTAATATATTTGGGGTGTTTGTTTTTGTGGAAGTTTTCATTTTTCTCCCTGTGAAAGGGAAGAACAAAAACATGCAAATGAGAATTCAGGTTAAATATGCCTTGTCATTTTTAATATAGGCAACTGTTCAATATATTCCAGAGCTGGGACTTGGGGGGATCAGATGAAGAGAAGATCTGAACCTTTGGAAAGTAGTCAGTGTTCCCCAAATGACATGAGTAAAACATTCTTTACAATTTAAGAGCTTGTCTTCAAATATGATCCTATATGATACTCCCCAAATTCAAACTGCACTGGGGTGAATGTGGAAGTTAAATGGTAAAAAGAGAACTGGTTAAAAGGAAAAAAAACAAGTGAGGAAAGTAGAGAATTCCTGCAGTCTACTGAAAAAAAAAAGTCATTAGCAGTGTAATTGAAAGGATGACCATAGCCTGATGTAACTAGTGTCTATTGGTGCCTGGGTTGTGGTCTTTTTGTAGGCTGGTAGGTCTTCAGCACTTTTTGAAAAGCAGGCCTCTCTTGCCTGAGACACTCAAAAGACTGGAAATCCTAGTGTGCCCCGCAGTGCACACAAAGCAAAATCCTACTTACTGCCCTGCTTCTTTCAGTCTGATGGCTTGATGCGTATATTCCAGAAAAGAATAGCTTTAGTGACACATTCCTGAAAATCAAAGATTAAAAACCTAAACACAGTGAATATCGCCCCAAGTCCTGAGCTCTGCCTGCTTAACCAAAGTCCTGAAAATGTATGTGTTCAAACAAAGAGTGATTTCTACATTTAGCTCTAATTCTTGCAAAGGGATGAATCACCTTGTGAAAAGTGGAGCCTCACCCTCCACCCCCTCTTTCCAAGTGGATATCAGACTTGAAGGAAACCCTTCCGGTGGACCAGACCTGCTCTTTAAACTTGTGGACTTTGAGTGTGTCTGGAGCTCTTTCAATACCCTGCAAGAATAACTTTACCAGGACAATACTCAAGAATAGATAGAACCATGAGTTGAGTTTCAGTCTGACCCTTACCTGGACCAATTACTAAAGAAATGTGGACTACATATTATACCTTTTGAAAGATCTGTACTCACTGAATCTCAGGACACCCTCTTGTTTGTTATTAGATGAAGAGCTCTGAATATTTGTAATTTTCTGTGCTGTGTTGCCTTGCATTGTATTTTTTTCCTTACAAAATAAAGTGAATTATTTATTAAAAGTTCTACTTGGATGAAATTTAAGAGTTCACCTGCTCTAGATGCTTATTCTTACCCTGAAATCTCTGTGCTGGTGTTGCAATGCTGCGTCTGCTTCTCAACAAACCAGTTCTTATAACAACGACGGATGGGAATAATGAATAAGAGCAGATGAACTCTTAAAAAGCAAAAGTCCTCATTTCAAGCAAAAATCCCTAACAAGTGGATTCCTTTCTCTAGCGTCTTCTGAAAGTCTTTGAGGTTCTCCTTTAGCCCCTCATTTGAACTGATGACTAACTTACTCCATAAGTAGTCCTTGTTTGTATGGTCAATTGTAGAGTTATACTGCATGATGAAGAGTGGTGAAATCTGGCCCGGATGGGAAATGGATGGGAAACACACAGTTTTTGTGGGCAGGTTAGCAGCTACTGGCCGTGGTAATCTAGCTCTTTTGCATGACAAAGTGGGTCATGAGGGGCTTGTACTTTATGTGGCAATCCAGTCCTACTCTACACGATGTTCGACAAACTGGTCCATAGTGTATTAGTAGTTCTGTTTGTAAATAAAATGTTTTAAATATATTTCTTACAACGTGAAGACCCTGAATTTAACTCTTTCAAATGAAGGAGCTCACAATTAAGGGGATACTTTTTTGTCCTTCATAATTGCAGCTGGGTTTCATGACAGGCTGTGCCATTGGAGCAATGTGCTTGAATCTGTATGTGGCCTGTGTGGAATGAACTGACACCAATTGCACCTTTATTTCTTTGTCTTCTTGGTCAGCTTAGGTCAACTCCTTACCACTGCATTAGCATGTGAATCAAATTGCTGCTAAGTTCTGTTTTCAACCAAGAGGATTCAGTCTTCCAAAAACAAAAACAAAAACAAAACAAAACAAAACAAAAAAAAAAAAAAAAGGAGAGACAAAAAAGACTAGATCCCCTGGTGAGCACCTAATGAATTCAAAAGAGAATTGCATTTTTCTTCTCTCTCTTGCTTTCTTGCTTTCTCTTTCAAATCAATATGGCACTCGCTCAAGGATATTGAGTTATGGTAAATACTGTAAGGGAAGAAAAGCTCTGTAGCAAGTATCCAGAAAATCTGGAGTGGTGCTTGGATCAGGAAGCCTGCTGTTGCCTTAGTGCTTCAGGGACTTTTTCTTTCCTAGATTTATTGAGTCGCCTACAAAACATAAACACATTTCTGCCTTGCTAATAGTTTTGGACAGATTTTACTGCATAACATGTAAGAGGAGAGGAAGAATATCAGAGAAACCATACTTGTATGAATTACTTGTTACTGGATTTTCAAAAGAGCTCAGCTTGCACTTTTGATACCTGGAAAAACAGATGAATTTTCAAAAACTGCCAACTGAGCAGCATTCAGCAGGGGCAAAATGGATGTTGGCTCTTTTAAAAATTTGGTGATTTTTTGTTTTGTTTTTGATCTTTTAGTGTGAACTTCCAACACTGTTGCGTACATGAAATAAATTGTATGTAGCAATAGAATTACTACATTTCCCTTTGTTCTTAAGATTACTTGCCAAACTAGTTTCACCATTAATTGAAGGCAGAAATACAAACCCAAAAGAACTTAGACCCCTTTGCAGAACTGCATCCCTTTGCAGATGCTGCAGCCTGTTCTTCTGGATAAGGAGTGTGCTGATGTGTCTGACTTCCGTTGCTCCATTCACAATATGTCGCAATTTCCTGCATGTGGAGAGATGCTTAATGGAAAAAGGGATGATAAGAAAATGAAATATTTAGCCTCAGGTAGAACATATGGTCTTTTGTAATCAAAAGGCTGAAAGCACGATAGTTCCATGGAGAACAGATCTTCTTTTGGCTTCAACCAGCGTATGTCTTAGTGCATCAACTCTCACTCTGAATTGCTTTTTATTCAAAGCAATGTTTTAAAAAGTTATATATGCAATTTTTGACTTGGATGACTTCTTGGATGTATTAACACAGGAACCTCTGTCCAGAGTGTTAAGGTGCTGAGAGTGACACATCTCTGTATGTAGCTCCTGTGTGTTATTCAGAAGTATTTAGGCAGTCATTGCATGCATTGATCTGCAATCTCCAGAGTGTAACTGCTGAGCATTGTAGGCCAGGTTTGCCCAACATCTCAGATGGCATTCCAACTCCAGAGAAGCTGTGGGGTCTGGGAACCCCGAGGCTCCTGGAGGCAATGTGGTTTCCAAAAACCAGCCAAGTGTTTTAGGAGCTTAAATCCCCTTGACTTTCAGAAGGGAGTCTTCTTCTACATGACTGCTAAATTTCTGATAGCAGTCCCCGGGAGACTTAGCCCAGCAGCTGTGAGACTAATGCATGCATTGGTGAGACTTTACAGTCCTCTTCCGAAAACATCCTTTATTCACCTCGTATCAGAGGTAGAAGGCTAATAATTGTCCAGTGGAAGTCTTTGAAGAAAACGTCACACCCTCTAGGTCACTTGACAACTGCTCTAGCCAGCTCCACATCTTATGTGGGAAACATGAGCACACCTGCCTTTTCTTCCTTCCAAAGCTTTCTTTGATGTCTTGGTTATTTTTTTCCAGTCTTCAGAGAACTGAAGGAGCAGTGGGGTGTGAGCCATGCTCAAGGCCACAGCAGCTCAATTCTAATTAGGAGTGAGCCATAGGGTCCCTGTTGGCATCTCTTTGACTTTACCTCACCTGAAGAGAAAGGACACATGGATTTACGTTACTTCTCACTGCTTCTATCCAAGATAAATTATCAGATGTCTGTCTTAGGAGAGGAGGAAACTACAATGCATATTTTCTTATACATTTTTTTTTCTCCCGGAATATGGGCTTTCAAAAGTATATGAACCCAGGGACTGGATTCTTTTGTTTTTGGTCAGGCTTGTTTCCTTGGCCTATTTGATCTCTTCACTTCTCTGAGATGCCCACAGCCACTAAAAATGGGGATAATTACCCTCACATCCTTTGTAAAGTAAAAGCAAGGTATTAACATCATTGGTTTGCAGTGCTTGGGTGTTGTTAGTAGTGAGGTTGTCCCAAGCTGGACCATAGAAACAACATGTGCTTTCTCCACACAGGGACTTGAGGCGCCTCGGAGTGACACTTGTTGGTCACCAGAAGAAGATAATGAGCAGCCTCCAAGAGCTGAAGGTCCAGCTGGTGAACGGGATGGTGCCCTTGTAACTTGCTTTTGAAGTCACTTCCTCAAGTGATTGGTCCTGCACTTTGTATACTAGCCTGGAGATTTATTTTAACTAAAAAAACATAAGGGAAATTCAGTGATTTCTGTAACTGAAGGACATTGGCCTGTGCCATGTCATTTATAAAGCAGTGTTTGACTCAAACTTTCCTTTTCTTCCTATTTGTGTCCACATTTTCATGAAGTAAGTGTAACGTGCATGGAATATGGAAATGGACCTACTGTACACGAAGTTAACCAGTTTCTTATGCTTCAGCAGCAACAACGCCAAGCCTTCCCACCACATGTTGTCTGTACTTGGGATATATATATAGCACCTTTATATACTGAATTATGGCAGCACATGGTAGTACTTCCAAGGACTTACTTGAATGGAGAAGTTTTGTAGCCTTTTATGGGCTCACAAAAGCTGCAGTTTACTGAAGTTTACTTCAAAGTCTTAAATGTCTACGGAAGTGTATTGAAGAGCAATATGATTAGATTATTTCTTGATAGATATTTTGTTTTGTAAATTTAAAAGATGCTGTTACACAGCGTTAAGTTATAGAGACTAATGTTAAACTTGTTGCTTGCTCAATGGCAAATACAATACAGGGTGTATATTTTTTTCTCTCTATGTTGCAAGGTCCATTTTAGTTTGCTCTTCTGTGAGGATGCTACATGAAGATGTATATACTGTACAGTTTGCTACACATCAGGTACAAGTTTTTTTTTTCACATTGTTTCTTTTTGTTCCCTTTCCCTCCTTGTTTCATTTCCATTTGGTGTTGCCGCAATGCTTTGTATTCTTGCTGTTGTTTGGTTTTAGCACCATATAAACCTTTCGGGAGTTTACCTCATTACATATATGAGGTAGAAAGCGTGTGTTTAAATAAAAGACGTTAAACTCCCCCGCCCCATCCACAATGGCAGCATTGGGAAGAAGTAAACTGAGATTAAATCCCCCAGAGCGCGCTGGCTCCAGGGGTAATGTGGTACCTTAATATGCCAGCCTTGCCAGCAAGGTACCAGTGGGAACCAGACCTTGCTGAAAGCAGCCACCCACTGTCCTCTCACTGTTATCCCAGGCACCCACCATCTTCTCCCCATCCTGGGCTTGGGGGAGCTCATGCACAAGGGTGGCAGTCCCTCCCCTGCCTGGTCCCACAATGGATTCCTCCACCACAAGGAAAGCTAGACACCTTCAGCGCAAAGAACCGATGCCCAAATGGAAATGCAGGCTTCTACAGAGCTTGGTTTTTTGTACATGGAAGAGAAAAGCCCAATCACAGCTGGAAACAATTTCATTCTTCTTTCACTATCAATGGGATTAATGTGAGCAGTTAATACAATATTCATAGGTTGAATTTGGGTTTTTTTTTTTTTTGTTTGTTTGTTTGTTTGCTTGTTTTTTTTAAGGCTTTGGTAAAGCCTTAAAATCTTTGATAAAGATAAGGATTAAAAAGTCGCTCCATTTGTGGCAAGTATTTACTGTTATTCTAGATACTGCTTCTTCAGGAGTACTGGGTAGCTTTTGTCCTCACTGGTAAAATGGGCATGTTGTGATACTGTGTGCCCCTCAGTCTTGCTGCTCTGCAAAGTAGAGCCAGAGCAGTGCTGCCAGCAGCCCAAGGAACTATTTCCCACCAATCTTCTCCAAAGCACAGCCTCAGTGCCACTTCAGCTGCTTTTAAACAGCTTCAACAACTTTTTAAATAGCTTCTTCAGTTCCTTCAAAGACCTTGGATAAGAATTGATACAAATGCTGGTTTCTAAAGAAGAGGGATGGAAAGGGCCTAAAAGGAGTTCTGTTTTCTTTCTTTCTTTCTTTCTTTCTTTCTTTCTTTCTTTCTTTCTTTCTTTCTTTCTTTCTTTCTTTCTTTCTTTCTTTCTTTCTTTCTTTCTTT